GGACCTCCCCGGGGAGGCACGAAGCGTGCGAGGGGTGTGCCGACATGGGCGCGTGTACACCTCAGGCGATGCTGAAGAAACTTGAGTTATCGGCCAGAGTCTCGATGATTCTTAATGCTTCAATGTGAATCCTAAGATTTGAATGGAAATGTTGGGTTTTTATTCAAATTCTGAGACTATCAATTTCTTAACCCATGATTTCTTAAGCATCTCGCAGGGTGTACGTACACATGTTCCCACCAGGGCCATGGGTGGAGAGCGCTACGGGGAGGCGAAACGTGTGAGGTACAGTCGGAGAGCAGACGGAAAGGAGACGCGCGGCGCTGCGGATTCGAAACGAGGACCCCAGTCCGCACAGGAGCTCAGCCTGGCAAAAGGACCCAACCAAACGCAATTGTGAGGGCCGCCCTCGATGGAGCTCCCTGTGAGCCCACGAAACGTGTGAAGGGTGTGCCGAATGCGGCGTCTGTGCGCCATGCAGAGCCGTAGGCGGAACTTGTGGGACCACGCGACGTGTGAGGGGTGTGTCGCATTGGGCGCGGGTGCGCCATACGGACCTTGCCACTGCTGCCTTCGGCGGAGCTCCTGTGGCCACCACCCACGAACCCTGTGAGTGGTGTGGCGGATTGGGGGCGGGCACGCCATGCGGACCATGCCACTGGTGCCTTCGGCGGAGCTCTCTGTAGGGGGTGTGCCGAATGGGGGGCGGATGCACCTGTAGGGCCACGAACCGTGTGAGGGCTGCGCCATATTGCAGGCGGGTGCGCCATGCGAACCTTGCACCTGGGGCTTTGTTGGAGCTCCCTGTGGGGCCACGAACTGTGTGAGGGGTGTGGTGCCGAAGCGGACAGGGAGGAGGAGGAGGAGGAGTAGGAGGAGGAGGAGGAGGAGGAGGAGGAGGAGGAGGAGGAGGACGAGGACGAGGACGAGGACGAGGACGAGGACGAGGGGGAGGAGGAGGAGGAGGAGGAGGAGGAGGAGGAGGAGGAGGAGGAGGAGGAGGAGGAGGAGGCCAGCGCGCAGTGACAGAGGCCAGCGCGCAACCCGAATTGTAGGCCCTCTTCCCGCTAGGCACGCCAGCCCAGCACCGACGCCAGACTCGACGCCAGCATCGGAGACAGCACAGACTCCAGCACCAAATCCAGCAAAGACGTCGGCATCGACACCAGCAACGATTCCAGCATCGACGACAGCAAAGGCATCATGAACTTCAGCATCGGCGTTCACGACTCCATCAACACCGGCACCGACACCAGCGCCGACCCCCGCATCGAAGCCAGCAGCGACGCCAGCATCGACACCAGCACCGACCCCAGCATCGACGCTAGCTCTGCCGCAAGCGTCGACGCCAGCACTGACGCAAGCATCGACGCCGGCATCGACGCCAGCATCGGAGACAGCACAGACTCCGGCACCAAATGCAGCAAAGACGTTGGCATCGACACTAGCAACGATTCCAGCATCGACGACAGCAAAGGCATCATGAACTTCAGCATCGGGGCAAGCGTGCACGACTCCATCATCACCGGCACCGACACCAGCACCGACCCCCGCATCGAAGCCAGCAGCGACGCCAGCATCGACACCAGCACCGACCCCAGCATCGACGCTAGCTCTGCCGCAAGCGTCGACGCCAGCACTGGCGCAAGCATCGACGCCAGCATCGAAGACAGCACAGACTCCAGCACCAAATCCAGCAAAGACGTCGGCATCGACACCAGCAACGATTCCAGCATCGACGACAGCAAAGGCATCATGAACTTCAGCATCGGGGCCAGCGTTCACGACTCCATCAACACCGGCACCGACACCAGCACCGACCCCCGCATCGAAGCCAGCAGCGACGCCAGCATCGACACCAGCACCGACCCCAGCATCGACGCTAGTTCTGCCGCAAGCGTCGACGCCAGTACTGACGCAAGCATCGACGCCGGCATTGAAGACAGCACAGACTCCAGCACCAAATTCAGCAAAGACGTCGGCATCGACACTAGCATCGACGACAACAAAGGCATCATGAACTTCAGCATCGGGGCAAGCGTTCACGACTCCATCAACACCGGCACCGACACCAGCACCGACCCCCGCATCGAAGCCAGCAGCGACGCCATCATCGACACCAGCACCGACCCCAGCATCGACGCTAGTTCTGCCGCAAGCGTCGACGCCAGCACTGACGCAAGCATCGACGCCAGCATTGAAGACAGCACAGACTCCAGCACCAAATCCAGCAAAGACGTCGGCATCGACACTAGCATCGACGACAGCAAAGGCATCATGGACTCCATCAACACCAGCGCCGACACCAGCACTGACGCAAGCATCGACACGGGCATCGAAGACAGCACAGACTCCAGCACCGGGATCAATACCGACATCAATACCAGCAACAGCATCGACCGATGCACCAAAGCCAGCAAGGACGCCAGCATCGACGCCATCATCGACGCCAGCATTGATACCAGTACCGACTACAGCACCGACCCCAGCACCGACGCCAGCACAAACCTCAACATCTTCGAAGATGCGACGGCCTCCAGCACCAGGGTCAGCATCTAGGTCACTTACGTCATCACAAACACCAGCATCGGCTCCAGCATCGACGCCAGCATGGTTTCCGAGCCTGGCACAACTACTTGCTCCCGACGCTCCGCACCGACGGACGAGCAGCAGCAGCAGCACCAGTGGCTGCGGACAGCAGCACCATGACGGCGCCCCACTCCGCCCCACACCAGACGCCCCACCCAGCGACTAACAGTAGCACCACGTGCACCGCGACTTCGACCAGCGCAGCAGCGCCACGACTGCAATCAGCAGCGCTGCCACCAAGGCGGGGACCATCATTACCACAAGGTGAATGGTCCGGGCTGCAACCAGCGACTGCCACCTGCACCCTGCCCACCCGCCCTCGCCATTGGGCCGCGCGGCTCGTGCCCCCCGGGGCGAGGACGAGGCCGCTCACACAGTGATGGGCCTCAGGGCGCACAGGCCCTTCCTTTCACCCCGACGCAGCCCTGGCATCCGCATACTACCACCATGGGCTACGGGGACCACCAGCACGCCTTCGGCCACCTGGGCTACGGGGGCCACTAGCGCCATGGCACGAACGCCCGGGAGCGCGACCTCCCCATCGTCGTCGTCGCCCCCTCGATGGCGAGCGCTCCGCCCTCCCACAGGGTGAGGGGGCCCTGCGGCCCTCGAGTGGGGGGGGGGCATGGCGCGAGCTGGGCCCGCGGCGGCGGCGGCCCGGGAGGAGCGGCGTAGGCCCCCCAGGCCCCAACGCCCCCTGGGCCGCCTGCGCAGCACGTGCACGCAACCACCCCTCCCCCTCTCTGAGGCTTCAGGAGCTCCCTCTCGCTCCCTCTCTCTGGGGTTGGGTGCGCACGCGCGTGCATGCGCTGGCGCGCGCCGACAGCGGCGCCGGCCACCGCCGTCCCGCAGTTTTCTCTCTTCGTTTCCTCCCCTCCTGCGCTGGGTCCGTCCGTTCGTGCCCCCTTCGCCCTCTCCTTTCGGGCCCCCCGTCCATCTCTCCCCCCCGTCCCTCGCCAGTTTCACCAACTGTGTTCGGACCATTTTCGGAATGGCCTCTCCTGGCGCACCATTCGGCGCCGCCGGGAAGGGGCATTGGTCGCGTTCGTAGGACTCTCAGACCATCAGGGCTTCAGGGCTTGAGGAGGAGGAGGAGGAGGAGGAGGAGGAGGAGGGGTGGAGGAGGAGGAAGAGGAGGAGAAGGAGGGAGGAGGAGGAGGAGGAGAGGGGGCTGGGAGGAGGAGGAGGAGGAGGAGGACGACGACGACGAGGAGGAGAAGGAGGAGGAGGAGGAGGGATGGAGGGGGAGGGAGGAGGAGGAGGAGGAGGAGGAGGAGGAGGAGAGGAGGAGGAGGAGGAGGAGGACAAGGAGGAGGACGAGGGAGGGCGACGAGGAGGAGGACGAGGAGGACGAGGAGGACGAGGAGGGAGAGGGAGAGAGGTGAGAGGAGGGAGGAGGGAGGGGGAGAGAGATGAGAGGAGGGAGGAGGGAGAACGGAGGAGGGAGGATTGAGGAGGGAGGAGAAGAGGAGGGGGAGAGGAGGAGAGGAGGAGAAGGAGGAGGAGGAGGAGGAGGAGGAGGAGGAGGAGGGGAGCTCGCACGCGCGCCTACAAGGCGTTCAGCTGCGCGCTGCAGCGCCAGGTGGCGTGCCAACTCAGGCGCGCCGAGCTGAACTCTGGGCTCGGGGGCCCCACCGCGCAGCTCGCGCAGCGCCGAAGTGGGGACGCAGAGCTAAGCAGCGCGCGGCACGAGGCCTTGGACGGCCAATTGCAGCGCCCTGGGCGCCGCTGATTGGACGCCGACGGCCTTGGGCAGCGACGGCCAGGGCTCGCCGCTGAGGCGCCAGAAAGCGGCGGGGCGGCTGCAGGGGCTGGCGCCAGCGCGCGGCTGCTCGCCAAGCGCCGTGGCGCGGCTGGGCGACGAGGCGGCCAGGCAGTCGCCAAAGGCTGGAACGGCGGCTGCCGGCTGCTAGCTCCGGCTGCTGGCCCCCGCTGCGGGCTGGTGTTCGCGGCGCCCCGCACCATCGTCGCGCTCGCCTTGGCGATCCCGCGTATGGGAATGTATAAGGCCCCGGCGGGCGCACCCCTTCGGCTCCAGGACCAGTCACCGCTGAGCGGTGCGCTGGTTCCGGGGTTGGGGGGTGGCGCCCGCTCCCGATCAAAGTGTTCGGGCGCGCGGACAGACGCGTCCGCTTTTCGGAGGAGGAGGAGGAGGAGGAAGAAGAGGAGGAGGAGAAGGAAAAGGAGGCGCTGGAGGAGGAGGACGAGGACGAGGACGAGGATGAGGAGGACGAGGAGGATTTGGAGCAGCAGGAGGAGGAGGAGGAGGAGAACGAGATTAAAAAGGTGAAACAGAAGGAGCATGAGTGGGGAGGAAGGACGACGCGGAAGCAGAAGGTGAACGAGGAGGCAGGAGGATTTGGAGCAGCAGGAGGAAGGCGCCAACTTCCAGAAGCCCTACCGACACCGAGGAGCGGCAGCGGGCGTTGCGGCGGGCGCCGCGCGCCCGCCGCGGAGGCGCCGCCCCTGCGCAGCGGGCCCTGGCAGGCCCAGGCGCCCCCCCCCCTCCGTCACGCGATCGTGGCTCAAAGGCAGCCGCCCGCGGACTGCCGCCGCCGCCGCCGCCTGCGCCGCCGCCGCCGCCGCCAGCGCTTGGGCGCCTCCCGACGCCGCGGCGGCGACGCGGCCGGGTGTCCGGCGGCCCGAGATTTGACGTGCGCCGGGGGGCCTTGGGGCGTGCGTTCCTGGCCAGGGGTGCACTTCGCCTCGCGGGTGCTCTGTGCGCTGCTGCTCTCCAACTCCCCCTCCTGCTTCTTCTCCCCCCCCCTCCTGTTTCCTCCTCCCTCCTCCTTCCTCCTCATCCCCTTATTCCTCCTTCCCCTCCTCCTCGAGCTCGACGTGGCGGCCTTGGTCCTCCGTGAGGGGCAGCCGTCGACCCCCCCCCCGCCCCATCATCTAGGCGGGCGAGGGGGGACATTAGGAAAAATGGTTCGGCGCAGCCGTTGGTGGGGCCGGCAAGCGGGACGACAGGGGGAAAGGGACGACACGAGGGGGACCGATGAGAGGGCGAACCGAGGAACCGAGCGAGCGAGACGGGTCAAGAGGGACGCGTAGGTGGCGGGCTGTCATTGGCGCCCGTCCTCTGTTTGCGCCCAGCGCTTGAGATGTTCGACCAAAGCAGACGTCTCCTTTCAATGCCGCACCGCGTGTGCCGTTGCATCGCTGTCAGCCCGCTGGTGAAAAACAGCATCATCAGCAGCAGCATCATCAGCAGAATTACAATAATCAGCAGCATCATCATCATCATCATCATCATCATCAGCATCATCATCATCATCAGCAGCATCATCATCATCACCATCATCAGTATCAGCATCAGCATCAGCATCAGCATCAGCATCAGCATCATCATCATCATCATCATCATCATCATCATCATCATCATCACCATCACCTTCATCATCAATACCCCCCTCGCCCTCGCCATTTTCCCTACACAGCCATTGCTGTATGGAGTGCGTTGTGGACGAAGGGAACTCCATTGGCGTGCCGCGCAGTGCCGTGCGATGCCCGCGCGCCGTGTGGTGCCGTGCCGTGCCGAGAGATTAGAATGCGACACTTGTGTTGTTGCCTGCGTGCCGTGCCGTGCCGCGCTCAAGCTCTATAGAGAACGAAAGATGTACCGCGCGGCGCGTAGATTGTATAATGCGGAAAATGTACAGTGCTGCGCCGTGTCGTGCCAGCGTGCCGTGCCGTGCCACGCCTCGGCTTGTGAATGCGAACAGCGTGCCGTGCCGTAGCGTGCCCGTGAGCCGTGCCGCGCCGTGCGTAGATTCTAGAATGCGAGCAATGTGCCGCGTCGTGCCCGCGAGTTGTGTCGTGCCGCGACTACGTTCTAAAGTGCGAGCAGTGTACCGTGCCGGGGCGTGCCCAGGTTCTAGAGTGCGTGACATGTTCTGTGGCGTGCCGTGCCCTCGTACCGCGCCCTGCCGCGCTTGCGTGCCGTGGCGTGCTTTGCCGTGTTGTGCTTTGTTGTTCCAACGCTGCGGATGAGGGAAGTATGTGCGCGCTTGTGCGTCGTCCCTCGACGAATCGTGATGCCCCATCGCTGCGTGGGCAGGTTCAGTGTCCGCACGTCCGCCGCAACAGGCAAGGAGGTCTGCTGCGCCATCGTGACGCTCAGCTCGCAGTGGCCGTGCCCAGGTAGCTAATGCACTGCAAGTTGAGGAGCCACTGGGGCGTGAGCGACTTTGTTTCGGCCCACTGCGACCTGACAAGAATCAGGAGGGAAAAACACACACAGACAAAATTCATCGTCGATTCCCCAGAAAATACGGGAAAATATGGGAAGTGGGGGGGAAGACAGAAACCCAGAAAATATGGGGAAATATGGGGATTATTTTATTTGTGTGTATTCATTTGTGTGTCCTGGGGCCCCTTCATTCCCGGTGACCCTCGCAGTCAGGGGAGGTCTCGCCGGCCTGCTGAGGTTCCCACCAGCCCAGTGCAGCCACAGGCCGAGATGGAGTCACACTAGCTTGCAGAGGGAGCGCATGCCCGGAAGCCCTTCGAGGATATCGGGGGGTTGGGTCCGTCTAGGCGCTGGGGCCCCTCTCTGGAGACAGTGACGACGAGGCTGGACGCCCGTTGTCACCATTGGGTGCAGCCCGCCCGCGGCAACGTCGCCCAACATGTCACTGTTTCCTGACAAGTTCCAGCCAGTATTGTTGTTCCTGGCAATCGCCCACGAGGCGTTTGACCGTCGTTCGCTCCTCGTTCCTACCATGTGGCCTGTGCCATGGGATGATAATTGCAGTGATGATGGCAGTGTTGTCGCTGTCGCTGGCGATCGCCTCAAACCTATGGCCATAATCTTTGACATCCCGCAAGCACTGTGTGATCAGATGGGTCTTCCTTCATAGTTTGCGATAAGGTCGACAAGTTGCGAATGATGGGTGAGATTTCGGTTGCCCGCCATTAGCCCCTTTCAGCCTCGAGCGGCCGATTGCCTTGTGTTGCAGATGATTTCCTTGGTACCCGCTTCTGCGACAAGCCCCGAGAGAATGGTTGCCGTGGGTTGTTGGAAGAGCGTCTTCCCCCCCAAAGTCCCCAGTACTCTCGAACCTTCCCACCAAAGTGGTGGGTGGCTGGAGCGGGGGGGGGGCGGCGGCGAAAGCCGGGACGGAGGTCTCCCCCTCCGCCCCGGCAAAAGTTGACGAGAACGACGACGATGAGCACGACGATGAATACGGCGACGAACGCAACAACGAACACGACGGAGACGCTGACGACGATGGCGCTGACACGGAAGACGATTACGACGACGACGTGGAGGACGACGACGTGGAGGACGACGATGTTGACATTGAGGACGGCGAACCTTGTCCTATCATTAACGGAGGTTTCATTCGATATCCTAACAGCCCGCCCGTTTTGAAGTCCCGCTCGTCGTCGTCGTAGTTGTCGTCGTCGCGTTCTTCAGGTTTTCTGTCTATGTCTTATTCACCAACCTCGCCCCGTCGACGAGCGAAGCTTAAATTTAGTGTGTCCCGCCCACACACCTCAAGCCGCCCGCTCGACCGACCAGTCCGCTTTCATGTCCCGCTTGCCCGACTAGCCCGACGCTTTGAATGGTCGCTTGTCGTCCTAGTGTTCTTTGTCGTTGTCGTCGTCGTGGTGGTGGTGTTCGTTGTCGTCGTCGTCGTCGTCGTCGTCGTCGTCGTCGTCGTCGTCGTCGTCGTCGTCGTCGTCGTCGTCTTGGTATTCGTCGCCGTCTGCTGGCGCGTACGCGGGGGTCAGCCGGCTTTCTGGGCGGAGCTGGTGGGTCTCGCCGCAAGGAGGGGGAGGGCCCAGCTTTGGCGGAAGAGGAGGGATTCTCAAGGGGGTGAAGGGATCCCCCGTCCAGCGAGGGCATCTTGCGAAGCGCAGCGCTCGTGTTTCGTTGGCCGTTGCTGCCCCCGACGTGACCCGAGCAGACAGCTGCCCTACACTGTCGGGGATTTCGCTGGCCTTCGCTGCCCCGCGGCCGGACCCGATCGCCCGCTCGCTGTGGACTGTCAGGCATTCCGCCCGTAAAACAGGGCTAGGATCGGGATAAATCGCTCCAGAGCGTTCCGGAGCGCTCTCAGAGCGTTCCAGAACGCTCTGGAGCGGCCGCGGCGCCCAATACATCCTCCAAACCCGCCGATTCTCAGAGATTTCGAGTTATCCCGATCCGATTTTGTCCCGATCTTCGCGTCGTTTTAGCCCGCCGCCGGTACCCCCGACGAGTCCCGAGCCGCCAGTTGTCCTGGAGCGCTGGGAAGTCCCCGAGCGGCCGCTGGGCTCCCGCCGGCCGCCACCGCTCCCGACCGGGGCTTCCGGGGGCACGTGGTTTTTTTTGTGGAGAGGGGGCCACGTGCGAAGCCTACCCCTAGCCCCCCACGACTTCCGAGGAGGAGGGGGAGGAGGAGGAGGAGGAGGAGGAGGAGGAGGAGGAGGAGGAGGAGGAGGAGGAGGAGGAGGAGGAGGAGGGGGAGGTGGAGGAGGGGGGAGGGTGGGGCTCCGTCCGCTCTGGATTAGCCACGGGTCCCGCTTCCATGGGAAATTCCTGATTTCCGCCGCCGAGCGAGGCGGCACCGGCCGCTTACTGTGGGGAGGGCGCCTCCCCAGATCCATGGACTTGGCGGCCGCGCGCCAAATCCACGGATCGCCAATCCATGTCTGCGCGCCCCCGAAGAGTATGGGGGGTGGCCGCCCGCGAGGGGCTCGTCGGGCATCCCGTGCAGAGCTGGGCCCCTGCCCCGGGCAGGCGCGTCACCCGGCTCGGCGGCCTCACGGCGACCCTGGCGGCCCCGACTGTGGGCGACTTGGAAGCCCCAGAGCTCGACGAGGCTTGCCGCAGTCTCTCTCTCTCTCTCTCTCTCTCTCTCTCTCTCTCTCTCTCTCTCTCTCTTCATATATATATATATATGACCCTTTGCTCATTTTCTCTATCACACTCCCTCTCTCTCTCACTCTACTTGTTTAAGTGTTTTCTCTCGCTCTCTGTATCTCTCTCTCTCTCTCTCGTTCTCTCTCTCTCTCTCTCAAGCTCTCTATGTGTGTGTGTCTCTCTCTCTCTCTCTTCATCACTCTCTCTCTCTCTCTCTCGCTGTCTCTGTCTCTTTCTCTTTCTCACTCTGTTTCTCTCTCTCTCTCTATCTGTCTCCATATGTCTCTTTCTGCCTGCATGCCTGCCTGTCTGTCTGTCTCTCTCTCTCTCTCTCTTTTCCTCTCGCTGTCTCTGTCTCGAGTGGGAGGTGGCGTGGTGGTGGTGGGAAGAGGCGGGGGAGGCGGAAGGCCCGGACGAGTAGGAGGAGGAGGAGGAGGAGGAGGAGGAGGAGGAGGAGGAGGAGGAGGAGGAGGAGGAGGAGGAGGAGGAGGAGGAGGAGGAGGAGGAGGAGGAGGAGGAGGAGGAGGAGGAGGAGGAGGAGGAGGGAGGAGGGAGGGAGGAGGAGGAGGAGGATTGGGGGTGGAGGTGGATTGAGGGTGGAGGAGGGGATAGGGGAGGAGCAGGATAGACAGGACACGATGGTAGAGGCAGACAGGGTGGGCGGGGCGAGGGGGATGAGGCGGGGGGATGGGCGGAGGTACGGGCAGGGGGAGGAGCAGGGATACGGTGACGCTGATGAAGAGCGAGAGCGAAAGAGAGAGAGAGAGGGAGCGAGAGGGAGCGAGAGGAGGAGAGAGGGAGAGAGATAGAGAGAGAGAGAGAGAGCGGTTCGTGGGGCAGGCGGGCGTTCAGCCTGTCCCGGCTCGGTGCCCTGCCAGAGTGCGTTCCACGCTGGCTCGAAGAATATACGCCCGTGCTCCGGCACGCACGTGCACGATATCTTCGCGGTCCGAGCGCGCTCCGCGCCCGCGGCGTCCCCCCTTCCGCGCCTGCCTCTCTCCGGTTGTGCCCGATGAAGCCCTGGAGCGTCCCCCGGCTGCCCCGACCGCGTCTTTCGGGCCGGACGAAAGCGGGTTCCGAAATTTGCTGCATGCAGCTGGTTTCGGCCTCACCGAGGGGCCCATTCCTCGATACATAGCCGCCTCCGGCGCCCGGGAAAATCAGCTACGTGAGCTGAGTCTCAAACCCCCCCTTTGCTATCCCCCCCTTTCGCCCGACCCGAGTCTTGGATCCATGCCGCCGCTGACAAACAAGTGTTCGAAGAGTCAGACATCTGCCCAGCGTTTGCACGGGCCGCCAACGCTGCGTTCAGCGCCAACCCCGAACCAGGGCTTCCGGTCCGCCGGCTGGACGGCCCAGTGCCCTCCCTTCCCTGGACAGCATGCCTGCCGGGGACCATCTTTGCCTCCAGGAGCTCAAGGCCCAAGCTTGAACGCCGTTCTGCTCGGCAAGATTTGTGCTGGCATGCCTGGCGCGCTGTGTGTGCTGTGCCCACGTCTCGCGACTGCGTCTCCAGAACCCCGCGATCTGCCGCACCATGCTCCTCCTCCTCCTCCTCCTCCTCCCTCCTCCTCCTCCTCCTCCTCCTCCTCCTCCTCCTCCTCCTCCTCCTCCTCCTCCCTCCTCCTCCTCCTCCTCCTCCTCCCTCCTCCTCCCCTCTCTCCTCCTCCTCCCTCCTCCTCCTCCTCCTCCTCTTCCTCCTCCTCCTCCTAGGCTGCATTGTCCAGAGTATGTTCTCTTGCTCTGCAATCAGTTTCCAGCCTCCTGCGGCGGCGTAGAGGCTCGGCACCACGCATGTTAGCAACAGTTTCGTCCTGCGAAGGAAAGGCAGTCGCCCGTCGCACATGATCATGTTCTTTAGGTCTTGAAAGGACGACCAGCCAGCGGCAACTCGATCTGTAAATCCAGCACTCTGAAAATCTTCGAGCGATGGTTTCCGGCACTGGTCTTTTTCAGATTCGCCGCGCTGAAAGGACGCACATTTGATATGAATTGGCCAGTGCTGTGCGGACCTGAGGGGGCTTTGCCTGTGCGTCGCCCTGCATGGCCTGCTCCGCCCGGTGGGCTGGCTTGGCTGGCTGGCGATCGAGCGTGAGTTCGGCGCGTTGCCGATTGCTCCAAGCATGGACGGGGGCTGGCGCGCGATCTGTGTGTGACTGTGTGTGTGTGGGGGGGGGGGGGAGGGGGGCGGGGGAGGCGAGGCACGCGCAAAACGAGGGTGGATCAGAGTGGAGCGGGAGGATGGGGTAACGTGGAATGAAGACGACGGAGGATCGATGAAGACGAAAGAGGAGGAGGAGGAGGAGGAGGAGGAGGAGGAGGAGGAGGAGGAGGGGAGGAGAGGAGGGGTAGGGAGGAGGAGGAGGAGGAGGAAGGGGAGGAGGAGGAGCAGTAGGATCATTGGGAAGAGGATGCAGAGGAGGAGGAGGATGGCGAAGGAGGAGGAGGAGGAGGAGGATGGAGGAGGAGGAGGAGGAGGTGGAGGTGGAGGTGGAGGACGGTGATAGAGCAGATAAAGAGAGAGAGAGAGAGAGAGAGAGAGAGAGCGAGGCAAACGACGAAGGTGGGAGGATTGGGATGTAGGAGGCAGGAGGAGGAAGAGGAGGAGGATGCAAAACTATACACCCCCCTCAGGGCCAGAAGGTCCCCCGGTGGTTGCACATTGAGGAGCAAGAGCAGAGCCAGGAGCAGGAGCAGGAGGATGAGGATGACGAAAGGGAGGAGGAGGAGGAGGAGGAGGAGGAGGACGAGGAGGAGGACGAGGAGGAGGAAGAGGTGGAGGGTCGCAAGAGGAGGATGAGGAAAGGGATGATGAGGAGGAGGTGGCGAGGATGAGGACGAAAAGTGAAAGGACGATAGGATGAGGGGGAGAGGGAAGGGGAAAGAGGGCACGCCGCGAGGGAGGAGGAAGATGTGAGGGAGAGAGGCAGGGAATAGGAGAAGGAGTAGGAGGAGGAGTAGGAGGAGGAGGGACAAGTGGCAGGATGTTTGCGGGCGTGTGTGTGCAGGATGATGATGGTTGAGGTGACTGTGACCGCAGCGACGACGATTATGATGCAGAGGTGGCGGAGGAGGAGGAGGAGGAGGAGGAGGAGGAGGCCGAGGAGGAGGAGGAGGCCGAGGAGGAGGACCAGTGTAAACTCAAAGCCAGCAACGATGTTGTAATGCAAACTCCGTCCAAGCTCCCTTTTCACAGGCCCCTACAAGGGTTCATTTCCACTGTGTGAACTGCCTCGGTGGAAGACAACCGTTTTGAAGACCCTGCAGCATGCCAAAGCATTGCTCTCGGGATTCCAACGCCACGGATCAACCTTACCTTTGCGTTTCGACGATGTTGAATCGCGCCAGAACGCCATTCTTGGGATTCCAACACCGCGAACCAACGTAACTGTTGCACCCTCATGGTCCTGAATCCTTCCGAAACACCATTTCTGGCTCGCTGGATCATGGGAATCCGTGATAACCCTGCAAATGTTAAAGCGAGAATGCGCGGCACTAAGGCGAGAGCCACCTTTTGAAAAGGAACCGCCCTCAGTCCGTAAAACTCTTGCAAGTTTTAAAACAAATGCACGCGGCACGAATGCGAGAGCCACAGTTTGAAAACGGGCCGCCCTCAATGTGTAAAACTCTTGCGTTCGTTTAAAGCGAATGCGCGCGGCGTTAAGGCGAGAGCCATATTTTGAAGACGGGCCGCCCTCAATCCGTGAAACGTTGGCAAATGTGTAAAGCGACTGTGCGCGGCGCCAAAGCGAGAGCGACATGTTGAAAACGACCCGCCCTCCATCTGAGAAAGTGCTGCCAATGTTTAAGTTTCAGGGTCATAAACGGTGAGGAAGTCTCAGGCGAAACGCCCGGCCCGCCCTAAAAACCGGCCTCGGGGTGCGGCAGAGAGAAGTTATGCATCAGGAAAAGGAATGGAGGGGGGGAGGAGGAGGAGGAGGAGGAGGAGGAGGAGCCATGGAGCTATGGAAGTATGGCCTCAGCGCGGGTCCCGAGTGCTAGCTCGGCCGCCTCAGCAACTTCACTCAGGGAATTGCATTCCCGACTTCGGCGGGGGTCCCCTCTCGAGTCGACTTAGAACCTCCCGACCTGTCTTGGTCGGAGGCTGACACTCAGCACGGAGCCCTCGGAGACTTTGCACCGCGAAACCCCCGCAAGTCGTGCAAAACAAAACTCCGTTCAGAACGGATAAGGAATGGGTCTCGTGGCATTGGATGGCCAACGGGTGAGCAGGAGCAGAAACCGCGACACCAGGACCCGAAACCTCATCCTCGTCACGTGGCGCAACAGAGCGCGGGAAACGACTACCTTGGCACCTGCCAGGCCAATCGCAAGATATCCTTTCAAATCAAGCTTGAAACCACACACATTGCACTTAATGAGGGTGCGCAGCTGGAGCGGGGAATGGCCCTGCTCACACACACACACACACACACACACACACGGTGCAGACGTTCTTGCGCATTCGTGCGCGTGCCACGCCGTAGAACATGGTGCACACCCTCGTCATGACCGATCCGCGACTGCTCGACCTCGCGCGGACAGGTAGCAAAAATTGCACGCTGCATTGCGACCAGCCGTCGCAGAATCCTTACATGCATCTCGTCGATTTGGTGCGTGCGCGCAGAAAGCAACTCTGGAACCTCGACCCGACAAGCTGCTTCGGCTGCGCACGCGTCTGCGGCCCCATTCAGGAGCCGTTCAATCGAAGTGATACGAAGGGCGCTGAATTGGGCGTCTGTGGGGTGATTCTTAGTCCAAGGCAGGTCCACAATTCCGGCACGTTGGCCCAAGATGGCCCACAACTCCACCCAAAGGTCGAGCATGTCCGAGCACATCATAATCCCATTGGGCCGCCGAAATCCACGAACACGAGGGAGATAATCCAATAATATCAACACACGCCCACTCATATACCTCATCACATAGATGAGAGCGAGAAGTTCAGCACGAGGGGAAGACCGACACGGACCAGGAAGAGAGCCAGCGAAACCTCCGTCAACATCACCGAGCGAAACTGCAAGTCGTACACACGATCAGCCGCATCGCTGAAGTCTGTGGTCCTTAGCAAACTTCCCTCCTGATCCATCGGTCCCCCAGACTCCTCCTTCCTTCACCTGCCAATCGGCGAACGTATCTCAGGCCCAAGTGGCCTCGATCGGGGAAGGAAGATGTCCAGTGGTGCGATCGGGAGGCATGAGCCCGCGGCACCAAAGAGCAGGAACATCAAGCACAGCCCGTGCCGTAAAATGATCAGAAAGCTCCATGGCTGGATCAGGGATGCTGGCGTTGGAACAGCACGTCCAGGAACAGTGGGTAGGGGATTCGATTTCTTCACCACAACGAGTACACATTCCATTCGCCGCCGTCCGAGATCCGGCATCATGCAATCTAGACTCCGTCCAGAAAAACTAGCGGAGGCAGTGTTGAGAAGGATGGCCTGCACCTCGTAATCCAGCTCTCTCTCCCCAACCGCCTGCACCCACTCCGGGTGCTGGCAGAATCCGCACACACCCGTCCAGCCCTTCTTCCACAATGGTGCTGGGCGGCCTGCCTCCACACCAGCGTCTCGCAGGTGCGCGGAATGGCCCGCCGTACATTCGGGGCCCTGAAGAAGGAACCCTTTTCGTTGGGGAGGGGCTCGGTGTTCCTTAAGTGTTTCCCAGCTTGCCTCTGGCTTTCCCTCTGTTTTCGATCGGAAATCGAAGTTTAACTTATGGAAAAAAGGGGCCTCGTTCCTTATTTTGGGCTCCTTAGGTCAAGGCCCCGACTGTACCAGCGTCTCGCAGGTGCGCTGAATGGCCCGCCGTAACTGGAGCTAAGCATCCGGCTGTGCGAGGGACAGGGCAGCTCCTAAATCATCCCCGCCACCTGACGGGTGAGATAGGCTGCCACCCCAGATCCATCAAGACCGCGGCCGTCGCCGCCAGAGGTCCTCGCGCCCTTCTCCACAGTTGGTTCGCAGGCAACGCGGCGAGCTCCTGGACCTTGCTCCTCCAAAGCTCCGAAACTTTCATCCGAATCGTGTGGTCCAGGGATCTCAAAACCGCAGCAAAGCTCTCAAGATGCTCACGTCGAAGCCGGAAGATGGGATAATTGTTCACGCTCCCAAGGGTACCCAGGCTGGTCGTAGAGCAAGCTCCAGGGCGCCAGAAGCCAGAACAAACCGCGGCTTGCCCTCGGGCACTCTGCACCTGCAACGGTGACATTCCAACAACAGAGTGCCCTCACGTTCCGACCGCAAGCACCCCTGGTTTGAACAGCTTGGACGCCCTCTTCACTAACTTGGACAAGTAATACACCTTACGCCCTCGCAACCTGGCTTTACGTCGTCGTTCATTAACAATCACCACCGACCTACGTTTTCCCGCAGTGGTAGAAGTACCCAAATCACGAGTAGCACTAGCAGGGTTCAACTTGATACCAGCCTTGCGTAGGTCCTGCAGCACAAGCAACGTGAGGGGGGGGACGAATTGCCTACCAGCGCCGGCTTGTCAGAGAGCACAAGCTCCACATCCAGGGACTTGACAAGATCAGTTGCGGCGGACACAATCAGCTTACGCACCTGCTCAGCACTGCCCTGGGCCGCCTGAGACAAATCGTCCACATAGGAACGCGTGGAAACCCCAGGAAAGTATCGGTGATGGACGTAACGCAATATTTGATAGAGATAAGCTTTCACCCAAGCCATAGTCTGGGTACAGCCAGGGAGCACACCAAGCCCACATGGAATCAAAGTAGAACAGAAACCCGAACTTTCAAGCATCTTGGGGGCCACATGGACCAACAAACCAAGGGAAAGCAGGTGGGGAGGAAAATCCGAGTTACAAGCAAGCTTAACCAGCCGAGCAGGTACGACGGTGTCAAAGAATTTCGTCAGGTCATAGTGCGCAGCCAAGCTAGACAGGCTACCATCGCAACCTCGTGGCAGACCTCTCTCCTCAAGGCGGCCTGCAGAGCAGAACTTCCCCTGACCGCGTCGTTCCAAAACTCGATATGCTCACGGGACCATCGGTCCAGGAAGCTCCCCCTGAGTTTACAGTAAACACGGTACAGGGTCGGACATTTGCAGGCAGGTCTTTCATCAACCTTGCTTTTGGGGGAGGAGGGCGATGATCCCGAGGAGGGTCTGGGCAGGCCAAATCATGCAACGCTCACAGGCAGAAAACAAGCCCGCAAGGGCCTGCAAGGCCTGACCGTCCAGACCAAGAAACTCACGGGGCTTCCAGCCATCCACCCCAACAGCAGTAGTCTCAGAAAAGGTACGGCTGGCCGCGAAAACGTCCCGAGGCTGGGAGGAGATGCGAGGATGGGGTTGGTTGGTGGTGATGATGATGATTTGGGCATGGAGGACGGTAGCGATAACGAACAGGAGGATGCATCATATGATGAATATGCGGCGGACGGTGATGATGAGTATGCGGGGGACGGGGTTCATGGGAGTGTGGAGAACAGCGAAGGTACTGGTGCGAATAATAAGGAGAATCACGATAGAAACCGACGCATGCGAGTATGAACATGATATTGAGGAGAATGACGGCGAGGATGGTTATGACGATGAGCAGGGGAAGAGAAGGAGAAGAGAATGAGGAGGGAGGGAGGGAGGGAAGGAGGGAGGGAGGGGGAGGAGGAGGAGGAAGAGGAGGAGGAGGAAGAAGAAGAAGAAACGGGTGAGGAGGAGGAAGGGGATGAGGACGAGGAAGAGGAGGACGAGGAAGAGGAGGAGGAGGAGGAACAGGAGGAGCGGCAGAACCAGCGTCAGCGAAAGGACGACACGACGACGAGTGCTGCGGTGCCGCGAGGACGATACCAGCAACGGCAAGGTGTCGCCCGTCGCATCCGCGCAGGCCGCGTCAGAGGAGCATTCTTCTTGCCAGTTGTTTCGGCCTCGACAGGTTTCGACAGGCCTACTTCAGTGAGCCCCTCCAATGGGTCCCCCCAGCGCCTCCCCACCAGCGGTCTCCAGCTTCAGACGGCCTCCAACGGTCTCGGCATACCGGCCCGCGGCCTTCGCTCCCTGGCGGTCGCACGGCGCCTCCCTGGCACCGAGCTCTCGGACATCGACGGGGGGGTTCGGGCCGGGCTCGCGCCCATCTTGGGGACGACCTGAATCGCGGAGGGCCCGCGCGTGGACTCGGCCAGCGGCGGGAAGCCACGGGACAGAGCTTTCGGACATCATTTGGGGTTTCGGGCCGGGCTTGCGCCCACGACGACGACGACGACGACGATGACGACGACGACGACGACGACGACGACGACGACGACGACGACGACGACGACGACGACGACGTCGACGACGTCGACGACGACGACGACGACGACGACGACGACGACGACGTCGACCTTCAGAGGGTCGCGGCCTGGACCTCGGAGGGCCCGCGCGCTGGCCCGGCGAGGGAGCAAAGGGCTGACCCAGAGCGAGCTTCGAGGACGGGGGCGCGGCTCGGGGAGTGTGCCCAGGAGGCTCCAGGCCCTGCGAGGGTTCCTTGTCTGAGGACAGGGGAACAAAAAGTGGCATGAACATAAAAACTCGGAGGTCCCCGCAGATTTCTCGGATCGGCGCTGGACCCCCCTCCCTGGCGCGCGGAGCGCGCCAAGGGCGGCGCCGGAGGCGCCGCTGGGGGGCCCCAGCGCCGATCCGAGAAATCCGCGCGGACCTCCGAGTTTTTATGTTTATGCCACTTCTTGTTCCCCCAGAGGAGGGCGGCAGTAACATCCATGGCCGATCCCCGATTGGAGTTCCAGCGGCTACCAGACCCCGGGTTCCTTGTTCGATGGCTCATTATCCAGTGCCCTCCTCGTATGTGAAGACCCGTCGGCGTGTCGGTCGACTGAAGTGGCCTCAGGGGGTGTGCCGTGGTCGGCGATGTGGGGGAACGCGCCGATTTCAGCCCAGTCTGGGGCTCCCGGGGCTCCTCTTCCCCCCCCCCGTCTCCCCTCCCCCTTCCCCCTCCCCCCCCCCCTCCTCCTCCTCTCTCCTCCTCCCCTCTCTCCTCCTCCTCCTCCTCCTCCTCCTCCTCCTCCTCCTCCTCCTCCTCCTCCCCTCCTCCTCCTCCTCCCCTCCTCCTCCTCCTCCTCCTCCCCTCCTCTCCTCCTCGTCGCCCACCCTTCCTCCTCCTCCTCCTCCTCCTCCTCCTCCTCCTCCTCCTCCTCCTCCTCCTCCTCCTCCTCCTCCTCCTCCTCCTCCTCCTCCTCCTCCTCCTCCTCCTCCTCCTCCTCCCCCTCCTCCTCCTGTTCTTCCCCCTCCTCTGGAGGCCGGGGGCGGAGGGGCACCAAGTCCTCGTGCTCCCCGCCCTCGCCCCCGCGATCAGCGCCGACGCCGAGGATGTTTGGCTCGCGCGCGCGCGAGTCGGCGGCGCGCCTGGGGGGGGAGGTGAGAGCCAGCAGGCCTTCTCAGGAAGCGGCGGGGCTCCTCGGAAGCCCTCGGGGAAGGCCCAGTACCTTTCTCTGAAGGCCCGAGGCCTTCCGAGCCTTCTGAGAAGGCCCGCCCCCTCTCACTTCCCCCCCCCCTGGGGCGCGCGCCGAGTGAAGCTTTTGGCCGTGTGGGTGCGTTGTCCCCGCCGCGCGGGGCTCCTTGGGGGGGGGGGCTCTCGAGACGTGCGCTCCGAGCAAGGGCATCGCCCTCGACCCATGCAATCAAGCCGCTGAAATAAGTCCAGGAGGGGAAAAACACACAGACACAATTAATCGTCGATTCCCCAGAATATCTGGGAAAATATGGGAAGTGGGGGGAAGACAAAAACCCAGAAAATATGGGAAAATATGGAGACTCTTTTTATTTGTGTGTATTTATTTGTGTGTCCCAGGGCCCCTTCAATAAGGGCCGCGTTGTGCTTCGGAGGCTCTGGTTTCGGGCCGCTCCTTGGATCCAGGCCGGGGGACAGCTTCGTGGCCGAGGCGCACCGTGGCCACGAAGCCCCTTCGCTCCTTGTCCGGCGTTCCGTGCGATACCGGCGGCCCGGACTCGTGGGTCGACCCTGCCAGATCAAGGGCACCCATCGTGCCCTGTGCCTCGCGACCCATGCCTCCTGCATTTCTGTGGCAGCGTGGCCCCCGGAAGCATGGCATCGCTCGGACGTGTGCATGTTTTTTCTCGGCGAGGACCCTGGAGGAGCATCCTGGACCATCTAGCAAAAACAAAACAAAACAAAACACACGCACGAGACCGAAAAATGCACAGGGAGTGGACGTCCGAGCGATGGCAAGGAAGGGTCTCGTGTCCTCTCGCGTGGCCTCTCCGAGCAAGTCCGACGGCAGCGCGAGGGCCGAGCCCCGGGCGCCTCGGCCAGGAGGTCGAGGCGGCAGGCCGCTCGCCATCTCTGGCCTCCGGGGGCGGGTCCCTCCGGCCTCGCGTCGGAGTGCGGCTCGGGACGGGGAGGAGGGCGTCGAGAGGTCCACTGGCATCGCTCGGACGTGTGCATTTTTCTTTCGGCGAGGACCATCGAGGAGCATCCTTGATCATTTAGCGAAAAAAAACACGAAACCGAAACAAACACAGGGAATGGACGTCCGAGCGATGGCGAGAGGGGCCCACGCGTCGAACCTTCGTTGCCTCGATGCGCCCGTGTTGCAACGCAACACGTCCCGTGTCCAAGGCGTCCGTGTCGATGCGTTGCGTGTTGGCTCCACGTAGTGGACCACGCTTTGGCGAATGCATCGCGTCGGTCCTGCGTTCTCACCCCACGTGTTGAGCTCCGCATCCATGCGATCCGTGCTGCGTGTTGCGCATCGGGGCCCACGCGGCGAACAGATCGGATCGCCGGATGCTTCATGAGTGATCCAGGAGCAAGGGTCCGGCATGGCCAGGACCCCGGGTAAGGGGACCCGGTCAGCGGTAGGGCCCTGGGGCCCCTGACTTGGCCAGATTCACTAAACCAGGTTTGCCGTAACTGGTGTTTTTCGTGTGACGGCAGTTCCGGTTAGTGGAAATGGGGCGGGGGGGCGCCCCCGGTACAAATCATTAAACCAGGGGCTCCCATCTCCCAGGAGCTCGGGGGGGATCGAGGAGGAGCATCAAGGGGCCCAAGGACACACACACACACACACACACACACACACACATAAATACACACAAATAACAGGATCCCCCATATTTTCCCATGTTTTCTGGGTTTTTGTCTTCCCCCCCACTTCCCATACTTTCCCATCTTTTCTGGGGAATCGGCGATCCATTGTGCCTGTGTGTTTCTTTTCCTCCTGGGAGCACCGGGTGCGGAGGAGGCTGGCGGAAGGCCCCGGGGAGTCCGACGAGGGCGGCGTCGCTGGCGTGAGCTCGGCGGAGAGTGAAGCCACCCCTCACAGAGAGGTCGCCGCCAGCGTGCTCATGGTCTCGAGGGGTGGCCAGGCGGCTCGGGCGCGGATGCCGGCCTACGTCCAGGGCGTCCGAAAGTCAAGAGGGGAAAAAACACACAGACACAATGATTCGTCGACTCCCAGAAAATATGCGAAAATATGGGAAGTGGGGGCGAAGACAAAAACCCAGAAAATATGGGAAAATATGGGGAATCATTTTATTTGTGTGTATTTATTTGTGTGTCCCAGGGCCCCTTCAGAAAGGCCCGTCTTGGCGGGGCGAAGCCTCACCAGGAAGCAAAGCCTTGAAGAGAGCCCCGTCGGCGCGGAGGTCTCCCCCTTCAGCGGCAGCGAGGACGGCGAGGGAGGCAAGCCGAGGCTCCCCCTGACGTGGGAGAACGTCCAGCTGGCCTCCGACCCAGCGGCACGCCCGGCGGAGAGGCCTCCCTCGGCGAGCCCACGCGGGGCAGCCAGTGCGGGGTCGCCGGTCGCCGAGTCGGGAAGATAGCCGCGCTTCGTGGCCTGCGCCGAACAGGCGTAGCTCGAGGCGTGAGGGTAGGCGACCTGGGTAGATCGTCGGCCCAGGCACACTCAGCACAGGGCGCGGTGTCTCCGTCAGTCTCTGCTCACCAGGACCCTCGGGGGCCTCGGGCGGCGTCGCTGGGTGCACGCAGCGCGGCTCTTGGGGCTCGTGTAGCGAAAGGTCCACGATGGGGGGGGGAGGCACTCGAGGTAAAGTGGCGGAGCACAAGGTTTCGGAGTACATTCGCTGGTCTTTGCTGCCGCCTCCCCACCATCTGCCGTCATGATAGTTTGTTGTTGGAATCGCTCCGACTGGGGCTGCACTCGTGGGAGATTTCCGAGCGTTTCGGCATTACCGCTCTATCCCCCTTACCTCCTGTCCCTCTGCTTCTTCCTTCCCCCCCTTCTCTCCTTTTAATGCTTGTCTGGATTTTGAATTTACGTGGTCAGGCAAGGAGCTCGGGTTCATATAGTTGTACCACTATGCAGTTATGCCGGTGTCCCAACTCCCTTGTGGCGCGCAATGGCTCGCCTATTGCAGGTTGGCTTGAGCGCTGCTCCAGGAGTTTGGATTTCTTTTTCGCCTCCCTCCCCCCTCCTGCTTTCTCCAGCTCGTCCTCCTCTCCCTCCTCCCTGATTGTGGTAACGTCTATCCGGCCGGCCACTTCAGAGCTTTGCCGCTATCGAGCTCGCTCTGTATCCGTTGGGTGCGTATATAGCACCCATGAGGGGAAGCGGATCTGATGTTCAGTCGAGCTTCTCTTGCCCGCGAGCTCTTGCCCGCGGGCGGGCATTGTATACTTGTGTTCTGCGGTCGCGTTCATCGTGGACAGACAGATTCGCTGGCCTTTGCTCGACAGGGGGCCAGCCAGCACTGGGAGAGCATCGTGTCCAAAATCGCGGTAAAAGGAAAAACCTAGAGCAGGAGCCGTGCACCGATTACGTGCTAGTTGTCGCTTGTGGGGCTTGTTGGTTACAAGCGCAAGTACGCCTTACTTGTCTCCGTTTACTATTGTGTGCCGATCCGCAGGTTCGCCGCCGCGTGGTTTCTGGGCCTGCAGCCCCAGCGTCGTGGGGAAATCAACGCTTCATGTTTCGGCAACGTCTTTGGTGCCAGGGGGGCCGCTTTCGGATCAGCTGGCTAACCCTGTGGAAGTCGATTAATGGAGAAGAAGCATGCTGCCAAATAATTTCCAGATGTCCGAAAGATGTTCCAACAATGTTTTAAGTGTGTAAAAGAACATGTGTGAAGCATGTTTAGATCATGTTTTACACATTTCAAACACATCTTTAACTCAATGATAGGATTGTCAGAGTGCCCATTGCCATGGCACCCACGAGGCTAACCAGACCCATCCTCCACAGTGGGACCTTGCGAACGGACCTCGATGCAGCAGGAGCGAAGCCACACAAGCAAATGCAGCGAAGGGCGGGGCACCGGGCCCTGCGGGCGGGAGACCCTGCGGGGCGACGGCCACCCCCGACCCCTGGGGGCCAGCCGAGGGCGGACACCCTGCGCTCGGGAGAAGCCTGCCGGGGGCCTGGTCGGGGGCACACTCGAAAGCAGGTGGCTCTTGGTGCGGAAAATCAAGGTTTGAGGACTGCTTTCGACACTCGAAAACCAAGGGCTGCTTTCGACTTCTGGACCAACAAACCAAGGGCCGCTTCTCGAAAGCTCGGGAGCACTTCTCGCCCCTCGGGAGGCGGCCCCCCGCTGCCCGCGAGATAAAGACCAGCAGCAGGCGTGCGCCGCGCCCGAGCGGAGAGCGCAGCGTTCACCAAAAGCCTCGCGCGGCGGCGCTGAGGCGAGCGCGACGTTCCGCTCTCTCGCGCGCGAGGCGCGCCGCGCCCCCTTCCCGCCGCGCACTTCGCAGTGGCGGCGACAAACGCCAGGACAGCGCTGATTTGATGTGGCGTCTGATGGGTAGACCGGCCCTCTGCTGATGGTGCATGTCGGGGCGACAGCGAGGGGAGTGGGCACGGGTATTGGTGAAGGAGTCTGTGTATGGGGGTATGAGTAGTTTCCGGAGTGAAGGTCCAACTTGCCATGTTGAGCGAGTCAGCCAGCCACCCTCCCCCATACAGTGAGAAGCAATGTTGGCGCAATTTGATATTTGGAATGACGCTCGCTCCCATCTGGCGAACGGGACAAATACGGGCCGTGCATGGGCGGAAAAGGGAATCTCCAGAAATTCCTTGTGCGGCGCTGGGGCAAGAGCACCATTTAGCCTTCTCCCGCGCGGCCAAATGTCATATGATCGACGGAAGAAGCGGGGTCGATTGCGCCGACATTCGCGCGTAAGCTTGCCGCGCAAGGCCGCGCGTAAACGCCCTCTTCACCACGCGGTGTACCACGCAGGCGACCCGCGTAAGCCACCGCGTAAAGGCGTTGCGTCATCTCGCGTAAGACCCGTTCATGTATCGTCGTTCAGATGAGAGTGGCGAAGGCAATGCATGCGCCGCGACGACGTAGCACTGCCACTTCCGCGCAGAAGTTGCGCGGCTCCTGAGCGACTGTGATACTTTGCCCGCTCGCGCGCGGCCCCGCGGCCCCCCCTGGCCGCTCGGCGAGCGAAAATGGTGCGCCGCGGGCACGGCACTTTCACGCGAACGTTGCGCGGAAGTGTTGGGCTAGGGCGACACATCGCCCGCTCGCGCGCGTCCCCCAACGGCTGGGCAAGTAACGACATTGCGCCACGTCCGAGCGGGGGCGCCACTCTGAGGCGAAGTCTGCGCGGCGCCTGGGCGAGAGCTACGTCTCGCCGCTCGCGCGCGACCCGCCGAACTGGCGAGTGAACAGTGCGCTCCTCGCCTGGGCGGGAGCTCCATTCTCAGGAAGAGTGGGCGTGGCCCCGAGGCGAGAGCGACAGTTCGCCATATCGCGCGCGATGTGCTCCCCGTCGCATTGCCGCCATGCATTTTGCAACGTCGGCGAACAACGTTCATGCCGAGAGGAAGCAGGCCACGGAACATGGAAACCCATTGCACGCGAATCTCACGAGTACCCCGCCAACGCCTCCTGAATCACGCTCCACTTCTTCGGAGGGAGAGGGAGGGAAGGAGGGAGGGAGAGAAGGAGGAGGAGGAGGAGGAGGAGGAGGAGGAGAAAGAGAAAGAGGAGGAGGAGGAGGAGGAGGAGGATACGATAAGATAAGGCAGCGCCTCGGAGAGGTCGGAAGGCGAACTCGCCAAACCATGGCAAGGATAACAAATCTATGCTATAGAGGAGGACGAGGAGGAGGAGGAGGAGGAGGAGGAGCAGCAGCAGAAGGAGGAGGAGGAGAAAGAGGAGAGGGGAGGGAGGAGGGAGGAGGGAGGAGGAGGGAGGAGGAGGAGGAAGTGGAGGAAGCAGCAGGGCGGAGCAGCATCGACCGCGGCGAGGCGGAGCAGGGCGCAGGGCCGCCGGGCGCTCTGCGGAGCCGGGCGCGAGCAGGGCCGAGCCGGCCGCGAGCGGGGCCTCGCTCGGGGGGGCTGCTGCGCTCGGCCGCGGCCGGCGCGCGCCCGCCGGGGCCCCGCGCCGAGGTCCTCGACGAGCTGCGGCCGTACCTGCAGGCGGGGTGGGCCAGCCTGGCCGGACGGCCGCCGGCGGAGGATGGGAGGGGGAGGAGGGGCAGGGGAGGGGAGGGGGCAGGAAGAGAGGGGGGGTAATGGAGGAGGAGGAGGAGGAGGAGGAGGAGGAGGAGGAGGAGGAGGAGGAGGAGGGAGGGGGGGGAGGAGGGGCAGGGGAGGGAGGGGGTAGGAAGAGAGGGGGGGTAAAGGAGGAGGAGGAGGAGGAGGAGGAGGAGGAGGAGGAGGAGTACCAAGAAGGGGAGGCGGAGGGGGAGGCGGAGGGAGAGGAGGAGCAGAGTAGCCCTAAGGTGCGTCAGCGATGCTGCCGTGCACCCTCCCGCCCCGAGCCCCTCCGCACAGGTGCCCACAGGTCCCTGCAAGCCTTCCCGCTGGCTGCAAGAAGAGCCTCACTGAAAGATCAGCACCCTGTGGGCCTGCCGTGCAGGCCAGAACCCTATTCTGAAAAGGAAACGGCTCTCATCTTTCCAGCGAGTAGTGGGGAGTGCGGAGAGGTACGATCATGCAGCTCAGCGAGATGTCCAGCGGGATCCCCGCTTTGAGATGTGACCGCCGCCCGCCTGTGGAACTGCTGCGCAAGCTCTCACTTCCGGTCATCAACTCCGAGGAAATCTCAAACGAGAGACTTGTTCTGAAAAGGAGCCACCCTTCATCCGTGCAGCTGCTACATTGGTTCAAGCTCTTGCCGGGCGCGGCCGCTGCCCAGTGTTCGAGGCGGCTGCCGCTGCGGCCAGGCCCTGGCCAGGGCGCCGCCGCCTGGGGCGGTCGCGCAGGCAGCGCGCCCGCAGGACGGAAGGTCAAGAGCGCCGCGCAGACCGCCGCCTGGCGAGGGCGCCCGTGCTGCGGACCAGCGGCCAAGGTTTTGCCGAGCAAGCTTTCGCGAGCCGAGGTGCTCGTGGCGCGGGCCTCCTCCCGCAGAAGGTCCTCCCTCGCCCTCCCGGGCTGCGCTGCGTGGCCGCCCGCAGCGGCGGCGTCTCGCCCAAGGGCGCCCCCTATCCACTTTCCAAGCCCGTCGCGGGCGGGCCGCGATGAGCGACGACAGCCCTCCCTCCCTCCCTCCCTCCCTCCCTCCCTCCCTCCTCCTCCTGCTGCTGCTGCTGCTGCTGCTGCTGCTGCTGCTGCTGCTGCTGTTGCTGCTGCTGCTGCTGCTGCTGCTGCTGCTGCTGCTGCTGCTGCTGCTGCTGCTGCTGGCTGCTGCTGCTGCTGCTGCTGCTGCTGCTGCTGCTGCTGCTGCTGCTGCTGCTGCTGCTGCTGCTGCTGCTGCTCCCCTCCCCCTCCCCTCCCCTCTCCCCCTCCCTCCCCTCCCCTCCCTCCTCCTTCCTCCTCTCCTCCTCCTCCTCTCTCCTCTCTCCTCCTCCTCCTCCTCCTCCTCCTCCTCCTCCTCCTCCTCCTCCTCCTCCTCCTCCTCCTCCTCCTCCTCCTCCTCCTCCTCCTCCTCCTCCTCCTCCTCCTCCCCCTCCCTGCCCTGGGAAGCGGGCCTCGCGCCTCCTACCACACTCGCGCTGGCCAAGCGCTCGCACCAGCCCGCAGGGGGACGGCGGCGACTGCAAGATCGTGGACATCGACGGGGCGGCCGGGGGCTCGGCCGTTGGACGCTGTGGGCACGGCAGCCCTCGTCCTTCCTCCAGGTCCCCTCTGCGTCCAGGCGGCGCGGGGTGGAGGATGGTCGGAAGAGGGGTTGGATGGGGGCAGCGGGGGAAGGAAGGGAGGGAGGGAGGGAGGAAGAGGAGAGGAGGGAGGGAGAGAGGAAGGGAGAGAGGAAGGTTGGACGCTTCGGACACGGCAGCCCCCGTCCTTTCTCCAGGTCCCTTCTTCGTCCAGGCGGCGCGGGGTGGAGGGTGGTCGGAGGGGGAGGTTAGATGGGGGCAGCGGGGGGAGGAAGGGAGGGAGGGAGGGAGGAAGGGAAGAGGAGGGAGAGAGAGAGGGAGGGGGGGATGTGAATGGAGGCGGAGCAGGAGGGGAAATCAAGTTAGCCAGGTCGAAAAGAGTCGGGGACACGCCAATCCCCACCCCGCATCCCATAGCACAAGAGTCAATGGTGGCGCAATGTATATTGGCACTGGAACGCGTTCCCGCCTAGCGAACGGAAGCCGCTCGCGCGCGGTCCCGCTTCCGACGGCTTGGTGATGGGAAGCAAATTCGGACCCCGCACGGGAGGGAATGGAAATGGAGGAAATCTTGGCGCGGCGTTTTGGCGAGAGTGCCATTCAGCCCTTTCCCCGGCGGCCACATGTCCGATGAGCGCGGCGAAGGCACAGCATGCGCCGCGCCGAAACAGGACTGTCATTTCGACGCGCAAACTGCACGGCTCCTGGGCAAGGACGCCATACCGCCCGCTCTCGTGCGGCCCCGCTACCGCTGCCGCTCTCATGCGATTCGTCGCGAAACACTTGCCGCGCTCAAGCGGCAATGTCTCGTCAAGACGAAAGTTGCACGGAGCTTGGGCGATGGCGATGAGTCACCCGCTCGCGCACGAGTGACAAAATGTGCGCCATTGTCAGACGAACCCTGTGCGGCGCCGAGGCGAGAGCGACATGTTCGTCCGCTCGCGCGCGGCCGTGCTGTCGAAGAACTGGCGGGAAGAGGCAGCGCAGCGGCGAGAGCGACACGTCGCCCCTGTCGCGCGGGATGACCTCCCCGCCCACTCTTACTATGCATTTTGCCTTGTCGACGGCACAACGTCCATGTTGAAAAGGAAGGCGCCGCGTTCAGGATTGAGGGGCTATCAGCCAGCTAGGTGGCAGAGTAGGAGTATATATGTACAGATGCACACTTATACACATTTGTAAATTACTCTGTGCACACGGAATGAGGAACGGGTGGGCAGGAAACAGGTGGGTGAGGGTGGTTCTTGCGTTTGGGGCAACAAGGTCCCGAGCAGAGCATCACGAACCGAGGCAACAGCGCCGACGACCGCGACGACGACGACGACGACGACGACGACGACGACGACGTCGGAGACGAGGCGCGCTTACGATCGGGAAAGTCCCATTATGCGATCATCGTGGAGCGGCACTGCGGCCTCGTGCCCCGAGCATAGGTTCCCCCCAGAGCAGCAGCCAAACGTTTCTGGCTTGCACCCTTCTGCCCTGCCTTGCTGAGCCTGGGGGGCCCTGCTGAGGAAAAGGGGTGACGATGATAATGATGATGGGAATGTTCGCCCAGAATTATAAAGGGAGGACCCCTCGTCCTCTCTCAGGGGGTGGAAACAGCACTCCCAGCGGCGAAAAATGTATAATTCTTCTCCCCTTGGCATTATGACCCCCATCCGGCGTTTCAGTTGATGCTGCCTGCTATGATTCGCGTGATGTCGAGAGACGCGCTCCGGCAATCTTGGGCCGCCGCTCAAGCATGCATGTATTTTTCTTGGCCCCAGAGGTGGCTTTTGTGACAGTTCTTGAACTGACACTAGGGGGCTACGGGGAGAGGGGGCAGGAGGGTGGACGGAGCGCCTGTTGCTGCGCCTGGGCTGGCGCCACAAGGTCGTGAAGCTGGAGTTGCAAGGCGCGCTCATCACCCGCGCCCCGCCTCTCCTGCCTCCGCCTTCTTTCGTTTTCCTCCGTGCTCCTCCATGTTCCTCCTCCTCCTCCTCCTCCTCCTCCTCCTCCTCTCCTCCTCCTCCTCCGTCCTCCCTTCCGTCCTTGCTTCTTCAGTCTCCTGTTCCTCCTTCTCCTCCATGTTCCTCCTCCGCCTTCTCCTCCTCATCCTCCTCCTGTTCCTCCTCTCTCTCTCTCTCTCTCTCGCAGCGCTCCACGGCGATCCCATGCCGCGGCGGCCCGCGACGCACGAGCAGGGCGCAGCTAACGGACGCGGTACCAGACATGCGCCGACGCTGGTGGTTTCTGGAGGAGGAGGAGGAGGAGGAGGAGGAGGAGGAGGAGGAGGGGAAGGACGCGGGGGAGATGGGCTCGCTCCTTCTCTCTCTCTCTCTCTCTTTCTCTGTCTCTCTCTCTCTCTCTCTCTCTGACTCTCTCTCTCTCTCTCTCTCTCCCTTTCTCTCCCTCTCTCTCTCTCTCTCTCTCTCTCTCTCTCCTTCTCAAGACAGACTGGGGGGGCGGGGGTAGGGCCTCGCCGACGTGCGTATGCTTGCGCCGTGGCCCGCGGTGCCTGCCGTCGAAGCGATCGGGCCCGTGATCGTCGAATCGGTAACCAAATGAACGAGAGGGACGGCAAGCAGCGAGACCGCGCAACTGTTGCTTGTACGTCTTCCGCCGGGACGACGGCACTGGCAGGAGGCGGGGGAGGTCGCAGTCATCGGGGGGGGGGGGGGGAAAGGCCTCCGAGCCCACTCGCTGCGCGATCTCGTCGACGTCGCGCTCCTCCCCGTACTCATCATCTTGCGGCGCGCTCTGCGATTTCTCCACGTCCTCCGCGTCCTGCGGCACGCGCACCATGTCCCGGTATCCCAGTTTTTCGAGGACGTATGGGTAGGGGTCAAAAAGCAAAGATGTAAGTATCCGGGGTGCTAGTCCTACGCATCGTTGATCCAGTCCGGGCTGCTGGTGTACTCGCCTGGCGTCGGTGCTGAAGCTGTGGTGAGTTCCTCGTCCTCGTCGCGCTTCTCGCTGTCGTCGTCCTTGTCGGTATCGACGTCTGCGTGCGCCGACAGCGCCCTACTAGCCGGGGGTATTCCTCGCCTGCCACCGAGGGTGTAGCGGTGACCTGCCCTTGCCTCGATGCACCGTTTGAGCTCCACGAGCGCGGCATCAGTGTCGCTGGGGTCCGCCTGCTGAGCGATGCGTTTCTCGATGCCAACGAGGGCCCCGCTGAAATCGAACGGACGATAGCGGACCTCGGCGCGCACGTAGCGCAGCCTGTCGCTGTCCCAGTCAACGTTGAGCGCCTCGGAGCAGGGCGCTTCCACCTCGGACCGGGCCTGTTCTCTGTCGATTGAAAGCTGCACCCAGGCTCGGTCCTCCGGTAGTCTGCGTAGAAAATATAACGGGATTGCGCCCGCTCGATTTCGCGCAAACCCGATGGCTTTCGAGTAACATGTGGTGGCCTCCTTCAGCTCGTCGTCGTCGTCGTCATGAAAGTCCTCCTCGGCCCCCTCCACTGAGCGAATAGACTGTCCCCATTCTTCTTGGCACTCATGATGACGTCCGTCTTAAGTGGGCTGGGCGTCGGTAACTCATCGCCTTCTCCATCTCGTACGTGCTTCACTCCGTCTCGCGCGCGCTCGCCGCCGCGTATGTGGCCTCCTCCGCCCAGTAGGTGTTCACCTCCGCCGAGTATGTGCTCACCTCCGCCTCGCAGTTCTTCACCCCCGCCGCGCGCATGCTGACCTCCATCCTGTACGAGGGCCCCTCCGCCTTGCAGGTGCCCACCTCCACACAGCAGCTGCTCATCTCCGTCTCGGGCGTGATCGCCGCCTCCGCGCACGTGCTCGCCTCCGCGTGGTGTGTGCGCATCTGCGCCGCCTGCGTGGTCGCATCCGTCTCGCGCGCGCGCACCTCCGCCTCGCAGTTGCCCACCTCCGCATCGTCGGTGCTCTGAGGCGCCTTGCAGGCGCGCGCGCCTCCGCATCGTGGGTGCTCTGCTCCGCCTCGCAGGTGCTCATCTCCGCAACATACGTGGCCCCCTCCGTCCCGCACGCGCGCACGTCCTCCTCGTAGTTGCCCACCTGCGCCTCGAAGGTGCTCTCCTGCGCCTCGCAGGCGCACGCCTCCGCCTCGTAGGTGCTCGTCTCCGCCTCGTACGTGCTCGCCTCCGCCTCGTGTGAGCTCACCTGGGCCTTGTAGGTGCTCACCTGCGGCCTACCTCTGGCTCGTAGGCGCTCACCTGCGTCCCCGTGCGTGCTCACCACTGCCTGGTGCATGCTTATTTTCGTCTCGTATGTGCTCACCTCCGTCTCGTGCGTGCTCACCTCCGCCTCGTAGGTGCTCACCTCCGTCTCGTATGTGCTCACCTCCGCCGAGTAAATGCTCACATGGGCATCGTAGGTGGTCACTTCCATCCTGAGCTCCGCCTCGAGGGTGCTCCAGTCCTCCTCGTAGGTGCTCACCTCCGTCTGGTACGTGATCACCTCCGCCTCTTTCGTGTTCACCTCCGCCTCGTACTTGCCCGGGTCCAGCGCGCTCCCGTGGCCCAACGCCATCGTCGTCATGAACGTGGAGGGCGCTAGGCTGGGTATTTTCCCATCCTTCCCACCATGCGAGCTGGGCCTGTAGTTCTCGGATGTACCCAGCTTGCCGCTGCAGTGCCGAATCAATTAGCCTCCGAGCGGCCAGTTGTTTAGCTTTACGTGCTTGTCGTGCTCTCGTGGCACCACGGGTTGGTCAAACCGTCATCGCACACATCACTGCCGTGCTTCGCGTACCAGACGGGCGCGCGGTGCCCTGACCAAGCCATGTTGGCACCCGCCGGGCCGCGGCGCGGCCAGCAGGCTGAGGCGTCCTCCTCTTCTTCTGGATCCCCAGGCGCCGCAAGCGCCCGCAAGTGTTGCTGGTCCGTCTCGCAAGATGGCCCCCCCCCCCAGCAAAGGATCGAGCGAGTCCTGTGATGGGTGGCTCCCCGCGCGGGGCTCGGCGTCCCTCCCTCGGCCCGGCCCAGCTGCAGTGGTTCCCGCTTTCCAGGTACATGTCTGGAGCCCATGCGGCACCTCAGCGGATAAAGGCCCCTGACGAGGTGGAGAAACTTGCCGGCTATCTCTGCAAAGTTCGCTCGCTGAGTACTGATGAGGCGCAGCATTCCTCCCCCTCCCCTCCGTTGGATTCTGCTCTTCCCTCTTGTTCATCATCGCTTCTCCCTGCTCTTTTCCCGTCTCCATCCGCCTCTTTTTCCCCTCCGCTCCCCCCCCCCGCCCCTCCCATTTTCCCTCATCTTCCATCCTTCGTCAGTCCTCCTCCGCTCCACTCCACTCCTCCCTTCTAGGACGTGCAGGGCTGGTGCCGAGCCTTTTCACCGCATGGCTCCCGGAACCCGCAAGCGGCATCGGGCTTGTTTTCCTCACAACTCTTCCTCGTCTTGGGCGGCCGCGCAGGCAGGCGCAGTGTCTCCGGTTTCCGAGTTCTTGTTCAGCCTCCGTTTCGATGATCGCTCGCCAGCTTCACCAGCATCACCGCCATCACCTTCACCATCATATCAGGCTCGCCTTTGCCGCTCCACTGGCGCGACGGCCCCGCCACGCCCCGAGCGCGAGACAGGCGCCTGCTCCAGCTGCAGCTCCTCCTCCGTGACGCTGAAGATGGGCGCGCCGCCCGCCTCCCGCCCGCCTCCTGCCGCCCGCCTCCCGCGGGACGGCGGGGCGGCTCGGAGAGCCCTCGAGCGTCTTGCGGGGGGCTCGAGGAGGAGGAGGAGCATAAAACGACGCGAAGATCGGGACAAAATCGGAGCGGGATAACTCGAAATCTCTGAGAATCGGCGGGTTTGGAGGATGTATTGGGCGCCGCGGCCGCTCCAGAGCGTTCCGGAACGCTCTGAAAGCGCTCCGGAACGCTCTGGAGCGATTTATCCCGATCCGAGCCCTGTTTTAGAGCAGGAGCAGGAGCAGCAGTAGGAGGAGGGCGATAGTATTCGGACGTTGTTTGGGGTGCCTGGCCCTTCCGCGGCCTCCGTGGACTGACTGTTCGGGAGCCGCAGGGCACAGTAGCGGAGGGGGGGGGCAGAGGGCGGGACAGGGGGGAAGAGAGTGAGAGGGGCAGAGGGGCGACAGGGCCCCCAGAGGACTACAGTGGAGAGGGGGAGCGGGGGGGCACGGCTGGTGCATCGGGGGAACGCGTAGAGGGGGGGGGAGGCTAGGAGAGACGAAGGGGTGGAGCAGCAGGGAAAATGAGGAACATCACACATATACGCATTTTGTCAGCGCGCTGACAGGAGTGGCAGTTTGGAGTCGGCGTCCTGGGAGGCTTCTCATCGAGGGGCTGAAAGGCACGCTTCCTCGACTCAGTTCGGCCTACCCGCCCAGGCATAGAGAAAAGCTTGAAGGAGCGCATCCCAGAGGTCGATGAGGTCGTCTCGGTGATGCCCGAGGAGGACTCGGGGAGAGCCGCCGAAGAAGTGAGGACGATGATATGAGAGGCCTCGACCGGCCTGACATCCCGATGCACGCGTGCAAAGCGTTCGCCGCGAGGTAAGCAGATGAATCGTTCCGCAAGGAGGTGCATAACATGTTTGCCCTCGTGGACCCAAACGTTGGGATTAGGTTTTCTCGATGTGTGGTGGAAGTTGTGCGGTGTGACCCCATATAATGCAGTTTCTTTTGTAGCATGCGGCACTTACCTGTTTAAGAGTTTGGAGTCGCCAGCTCCAATGCTCGGGCAAATATTCCACCTTCCCACCCGCAACTGATCGAACAAAAAACATTGGCGCAACGACGCAAGGACGCAAGAGCCCTTCTTATGCAGATTCATGGTTTGGCGGGCGAGTGAGGGTGGTGACGACGGCATAGGCGACGGTGCTGATGATGATGATGATGGTGATGATGATGGTTATTGTGATGATGATGATGATGATGATGATGATGATGATGATGATGATGATGATGATGATGATGATGATGATGATGATGATGATGATGATGATGATGATGATGATGATGATGATGATGATGATGATGATGATGATGATGATGATGATGATGATGATGATGATGATGATGATGATGATGATGGTGTGGTGGTGGTGGTGGTGGTGGTGGTGGTGGTGGTGGTGGTGGTGGTGGTGGGTGGTGGTGGTGGTGATGATGATGATGATGATGGTGATGATGATGGTGGTGATGATGATGATGATGATGGCGATGGCGTTAAAGACCAGAGCGGCGACATTGACGATGACGGTGATGGTGATGACGGTGGTGGTGAGGACGACGGTAGCGATGGTGATGGTGATGATGATGATGATGATGATGATGATGATGATGATGATGATGGTGATGGCTCATCGGAGTGATGAAGACAGTGTGCGTTCAGAGAAGCACCGACGCTCTGACTGCCAGGAGGTGGTTCCTTCTCTCACGTTTCTGTGCACCTCCATACCGACAGGCTTGAAGCCACGTAGTTATGCAATGGTCTCGGCGCGCGCGCGCGGGGCCGCGCGCGTGTGGCCTGGGATGGACTTCTGTGGCAGAGCAGGCGGGTGCGCGACGACTGTTGGGTGATTCCGGCACGTGCGCGCGCGCGGCCCCGCCTTCGCCCCCCTCGGCGGAGTGCGGAAGCGAGAACGTGGCTGTGAGGTCCTCTGGTGCGCTCGCGCAGCGCTTCTCGCGCGTCGCAGAAGAACCGCCCGGACGGATCTGAGCTGCAACATGCCGACCTGCCAGAAGACAGTTCGGTACCCACTTGACTGTCACGTGCGCGCGTGGCGGCGCGGGCGTGTGGCCTTCACTGCGATGCCTGCTAGGGGCCCGGCGGGCGTGCCTTGGTGATGGCGCGAGGGGCCCGCCAGCACGAGGATTCAGCTGCATTCAAGCGAGGGGGTCTGCATCACAATGTCTGACGCGGGTGAGGACTGTGGTCGAACAGCGTGCACGGTTGGGACGTGTGCTTTGATATGTTCGGGCGAGTGGCCATCGATCATGGACATTTGAAGGCAACGCGCAGAGCTGATATTCTACTCTCCAGGGGGAGAACCTATGAGGTGCAATTACACTGGACCGTCTTGCAGTCGACGACTCCACTGCTCGTGCAAACATCGCACCTTCCCACCCGCAACCTGTTGGCACAATTCATATGGCCATGATCTCAACGAGCGCACGGGCGCGTGGAACTCAACCGCGCAGACGAGCCGGCCTGGCGGGTCGCGAAATTGTGGTGGGGTTGATGATTGGTACGACGCCAACGACGATGGCGATGATAGTGGTGATGACGACGATGCCGATAGCGACGACATTGGAGATGGGGTGGAACGATGACGACGACGGTGGTGATGATGCTGGTTATGGTGATGACAATGACGGTGGCACCGCTGACGCTGGCAATGATGATGACAATTGTATTGGTGATGATGAGGAGGAAGATGATGATGTTGATGATGATGATGATGATGATGATGGTGGTGGTGGTGATGATGATGATGTGGAGAAAGTGCACGTGCTCTGAAATTTAACGAGGGTGACGACTTCAACAATGGCAGCGATGACGATGACCCCGACGATGGTGATGATGATGATGGTGACGACTATGATGAGGCTGACGATGATGATAACGATTGCTTTCAGGAGAACGATGGGAACGTGCCCGCACACAAGAATCCCAGACCGTGATCTGTCATTGGGTGTTCGAATGTGTGTTAACACGTGTGTGCTGACATGGTCGGAAGGCCAACGAGTTTGGGCGCATTTCGACGTGCACGCGCAGAGGCGCGCGCGTGCGACTCTGTGACAAAGTTTGGAGGGCGCGCGATACTGGTAGAACGTGTTCAACATGCCCGCGCAAGTGGCCCGCATGCCCCGTTTTGGCAGAATGGCTGAAGCCAAGGGATTTCGTAACATTTCAGCGAGCGAGCGCGCGCAGAATTCTGGCAGCTGTATGGTTGATGACGCAATGGTGTGTGATAGTTGTGATTGGCCGTGTCCTGAAATTGTTTGACAAGTCAATGGCGTTTGACGGATGTTGGCGTGCGCGCGCGTCGGCGCGCGCACGTGCCCCGTGACACATTGTTCTGGAATGGGAGTTTTGGACAAAAGACTTCTTAGTTCAGCGCGTGTGCATCGAATATTTGGAAGGAGATTCGAGATTGTCGATAACGGTTTGGTTAGGGTGATAGTCGGATGGACGGTCGTGCGGATTAGGTGTGGAAAGAACGGCAATACGCCGCGGGGGTCGCTTGTCTTGATTTCGGTGGGGGGGGTCTCTTCCACTTCCTTCTAGACAGAAGCTATGTAGTGCTACTCGCAGTGAGTAATCGCGCATGGCCACCTCCCATGCTCGAGCATACATCCCGCCGCCCCATCCGCAACACGCTGACAACACTGAAGATGGCGTGAGCAGTAGTAATCGTCGGGACATGCTCGCGAATTCCAGAGGGCGGAATGACGCGCTGACCCTCATCATGAAGATCAATGTGGCGGCCCGTGGAGTAGCAATGATGACGACAACATAGGAGACGACGACGAAGATGGTGACAGCGGGTGGTGGTGGCGATAATGACAACGGCAACGGCAACGACGGTGACGACGATGGTGCTTACCATGCGGCAATCTACAACGGTGACAAGGACGACGGTGGCGATGATGCTGGCGATGGTAATGATTAGGATGGTGAGGAAGTGCACGCGCAGACATTCTGGCAGAGCCCTTGTTGGAAAACAACGCATTGTTCCGAACGTGTTCGGGCATTTGTATGTTGAAACGATTGGGGAGGCAATTGGTTCGCAATGGGTTATACATGCGCGCGGGGGGACGCGCGCGTGGCCCGCATGATTTTCTTTGACACAGTTGGCGGGTGTGCGATTTGCTTTTGACAATTCCGACATGCGCTCGCGTGCGACCCGCATGGCCCCGTTTGGTGTAATGGCAAGCGCTGTGGTGTTCATGCCATTTCAGCGTGTGCGCGAGCAAGATCTGTTTTTTTAATGTTCGAATTCGAAGTTGCAGGGTTTCAGTATGAAGTACAACATAGATACACATTATGGCGCATGGTGTTGCAATTGGTTTGCACATGTGCGCGCGTGCGTGTGACCCACATGCTTCTACACCGGGAAAATTTCACCCTGCACTTGTCGCATCAACGCATCTGCTCCGCATCGCAGCTTCTGTGGAGGCTCGCGGGTTTGTCAATCTCGCTCTCTTGCGCAGGCTAGCTCCCCCGATCGGTGCTTGCGCTTCGGGGCTAGACTTCCGTGAGAGGTTGAATGGGTCACCGAAGCTTGCGCCCAGTGCCCGCGCGTGGGCACACGCGGGCGCCCCGCGAGCGCCTCGCGGGCGCCTCTTGCGCCGGCTGGTGCAGCCGAGGCTTCGCCCGGTGCCCGCTCGTGGGCGCCTCGTTGGCGCCCTGCGCGCTGCGTGAGCGAGCCAGGCTTGTGCCCGGTGCCCGCGCGTGGGCACACGCGGGCGCCCCGCGAGCGCCCCGCGGGCGCCTCCGTGCGCCGGGTGGTGCAGCCGAGGCTTCGCGCGGTGCCCGCTCGTGGGCGCCCCGTCGGCGCCCCGCGCGCCGCGTGCGCGAGCCGGGCCTGTGCCTGGTGCCGGCCCGCGGGAGCCTCGTGGGCGCAGCGTGCGCCGGGCGGGCCCGTCGGGTTTCGCCTGGTGCCCGCCCCTTGGGCGCCTCGTGGAGGCCCCGTGCGCTGGGTGGGTGAGCCGAGGTTGCGCCTGGTGGGCGCCTCGTGGGCGCCTCGTGCGGTGTGTGGGTCAGCCGGGGTTTCGCCCGGTGCCCGACCGTGGGCCCCTCGTGCGCTGGGCGGCCGCACATGTAGCTTGCACCCCGTAGCTTTTTACCACCTGGCTTGCACCACATGGCTTTCACGACACGGCTCAAGCCACGCAGCGTGCACCAAATAGTTGGCACCACCCTGATCACACGGCGTAGCCTGCACAACATAGCTTGCACCGAGTAACTTGCACTTGAAGGACAATTCTTACACCACATCGCTTGCACCATATAGCTTGCACCCTGTAGCTTGCACCACAGACTGAACGGCATAGATTGCACCACATAGCTTACATCACTCAGCTTGCACCGCAAAGCTGCCACCACATAGCCTACACCACACAGCTGGCACCGCGTAGTTCACACGTACACGCCAATACTTGCTCCACATAGTCGGCACCACAGCATTCACCGCAGACCGTGAGTTATCGCACACTGGAGGTGGCAGCTATGCCGTGCGAGCTATGCTGTGTAAGCTGTGTTGTGCAAGCTACGTGGTGCAAACTGTGTTCTAAGTTTCAGGAGGGAAAAAACACACAGACACAATTAATCTTCGATTCCCCAGAAAATATAGGAAAGTACGGGAAGTTGTGGGGAAGACAGAAACCCAGAAAATATGGGAAAAATATGGGAAATATTTTTATTTGTGTGTATCTATTTGTGTGCCCTGGGGCCCCTTCAAAGCTGTGCGGTGCGAGCTGTGTGGCGTGAGCTGCGCGGTGCAACCCCTTACTTGTGTGCGCAGCTGTTGTGTAGGCCCGAGTCCTGGGCGCACGGGGCGCCCCCGAGGCGCCCACGAGCGGGCCACGGGGCGCCAGCGCTGCGAAGCCTCGGGCAGCCCACCCAGCCCGCGGGGCGCCCGCGAGCGGGCCACGGGGCGCGGGCGCGGGCGAGACCTCGGCAGACCCGCCCAGCGCGCGGGGGGGCGCCCACGGGGGCGCCCGCGAGCGGGCACGGGCGCGCGCGTGGCGAGGACCCGGGAAGTCCCCCCCCGAGTGCTTCGGTGCCCGGACAAAAAGTGTCCACACCCAGGGCGGCAAGACACTGCGACGTGATAACAACCGCAACAGCATGATGCACTTGCCTCGCACCCCTCCCCCCCAAAACCCAAAGTTGAGGTGTCCACATTTTGTCCTTGGCGCGCGGCGTGCCGCATAATCCCGCCAACTTTGAGTTGGGGGGAAGGGGGGTATACATATTCGTTCGACTTGATTTAACAACGAATTATCTTGGCGCGACAAGTGTGGACACTTTTTGTCCGCCCACCGATGCTGAGACCAGCGAGGGCCCCTGAGTGCGAGCACCGGTTGGGTTGCGATCGGGCAGCAGCCATACGAGGTACAGATGCGAGCCGCCAGAGCGTTCCGGCCAGGTTCGGCATAGAGGTAGAGCCTGAGATCCTTTCGAAGCGGGGTCACACGCGATGCAACACACACACACACGGGTGCAATCCACCCACCGCGCACCATCCGCGCGTGACCACCTCCCTTGCCCGCGCAGGCATCCCACCCACTCACCCGCACTTCGTTGGCACAGTTCAGACGGCCATGATCTCAACGCGTGCACGTGCGCGTGGCACTCACCCGCGCAGACGAGTCCGTCCCCCAGATCGCGAAATGGTGGTGGCGATGGTGACGGGCGCGGATCCAGCGACGATGGCGATGACAGAGGTGATGACGTTGATGCCGATGGCGATGACAGTAGATATGAAGGAAATTCGTTGTCGAAGACGACGACGGTGGTGATGGTCATGATGGTAATGAAGATGAAGAAGAAGAAGATGATGATAATGATTATGATGAAGATGAAGATGAAGATGAAGATGAAGATGAAGATGAAGATGAAGATGAAGATGAAGATGATGATGATGATGATGATGATGATGATGATGATGATGATGATGATGATGATGATGATGATGATGATGATGATGATGATGATGATGATGATGATGATGATGATGATGATGATGGTGATGATGATGATGATGATGCTGATGGTGGTGCTGCTGATGATGAGGATGAGCATGACAATGCTGGTGATGGTGATGGGGAGGAGGAAAATAAAGATGAGGGCGAAGATGAAGATGAGGATGCGGATGAGTGTGAGGAGCCGGATGAGGATGCGGATGATGATCTGGATTTGGATCTGGATCAGGACCAGGATCAGAATGAGGACGAGGATGAGGATGAGGATGACGGTTATAGGAATGACGTTTGTGATCACGATGGCGATATTGGTGGTGATGATGACGATGGTGTTGATGTTGATGTTGATGATGATGATGATGATGATGATGATGATGATGGTGGTGATGGTGATGGTGATGGTGATGATGATGGTGATGGTGATGGTGATGGTGATGGTGATGGTGATGGTGATGGTGAGGCAGGGCCCGCGCGCAGAAATGTCACGATGGTGGCGGCTTCAACGATGACAGCGGCGACGATGACCCCGACGATAATGATAACGATCGTCCTGAAGAGGATGGCGAGAAAGTGCTCGCCAGCGGGATTCTAAACGCCGTGAGACGTTTCTGCTGGAAACTGTTGGGTTTCCGTTTGCTGTTGCACGCTTTTCTGCTGAAGCGGTGAGAAGCCGTTGGTGCTGGACGGATTTCGAGACGAACGCGCGCAGAGTCGCTCGCGTGCGGCGCGCATGGTATTATTGGCAGGGTTGGTGGGCGCGCGATGGTGGCTGAACGTTTTCGACGCGCGCGCAGGTGGCCCGCATGCCCTAATTCGACAGAGTGGAGTACGTCAGCAGATTGTGTTCTTACGAGTTCAGCGCGTGCGCGCTGAATTCTGGCACCTGTTTTGTTGAAAACAGATGTTTTTGAGTAGCCGTGTTTTTGGGAATTGCTGGAAACAGTTAGTTGTTGAATGGTTTTGACGTGCGCGCGCGCGCGCTGCCGCGCGCGCATGTGCCACGCAATGCATTTTCGAAAGCGATGATGAGAAACGCGCACTTACTAGTTCAACGCATGTGCACCGCGTAGTAGAGTTTGCAGGAGAAGGCGGGAGGTGCCGGTACCGACCTGGGTGCCAGGCTAGTATGTAAGGTTTCGGACGAACGGTCGTGGAGCATGAGCATGAAACCCAATACGTGGAAGGGGGCCGATAACCCCAGCCTCGAAAGGGGGGAAGATTTCGATGTGTTAAGAGGGGAGGGACACGAGCCAGCGCACGATACAGCCACGCAGCGCCCAAGTGCGGACACTATGCAAAGGCATGCTGGCCAGCGCACGGGGCGTCCACGGGCGGACTCTGGGCGAGAATTTCGAAATCTTAGATGGCACACGGGGGCCTCCGTGAGGCGCTCACGGGCGGCCACGCGGATAGAAATGCCACAGAGCACGGCGCGCCCACGAGGCGCCCACGTGCGCGCACTGGGGACAGCCAGGGAGCGACAGCCAATGATTCCAAAGATGCCGAGCTCGAAGCCCTCGGTGCAAGCACTCTTCGGGGAATGATGCGGGAGAGCTGGGACACAAAGAGATGACACGCCCCGGGCGACATCAGAGCACCACATCCCGCCCACCAGCGAAGCGTGGCACCACAGGGGGGACCATCACCAGGACGCCACGGAAGTTCCTCCTCCCACCGCCCTTTTTTCCTTCCTATGTTGCTGCTCCTTGTCTTTCTCCCCCCTCCTTGTTCGCCTCGTCCCCCTCCCTCTTCTCCTGGCTGTAGACACATACTGTAGATGTAGAAACATTGTTGGTCAGAAGGAGGACCAGACGCGCCTTTTTTGTTGCGCTATCCGTGGACGGCTGGGAGGGGCAGTGGGTGGGATCTACTTCTGCTGCTCGAGTGAGGATCTCATCCAATGATGCCGCTCTCGCCCAGTCCGCACAGGAGTGTATCAGGCATGGTCTCCCATGGCGTTGCTCGGAATGTCTCGAATTAGTTACCGGTACGCCCTGGAGGCTGCGTGTACCCGTCTTTCGGGGGCGGCAAAGAGGGGGGGTGATGATTAGGGGGGGGATATCATGGCGGGGGCCATAATATCTCCCCAGATTTCGTGGCGCCTCTTCTTATTTCATTACGTCCCTGGCCCCCCCGCTGGGCTGCGCACATGCCGCCGGTCATGATTTGCACCCCCCCCTCTTGGACACCCCCCTCTTGGCCGCTCCCGAGTCTTTGCCCCAAAGGCCTTCAGGGGCCTTCAGGGGCCCATCCGTTTCCCCATGATGGCTGGGGTCATGGTTCGGGAGTTTCTGGGGCCCGTTTGGATCGGTTCATTTTTGGTCGACCCCAGCCATCATGTCTTGGCTTGGCCGTCACCAAGTGCGTTTCTATATTAAATGCGGGTTGACGTCGACAACCAACCCCGTCACCTCGCTAAGCCTTCCTTCCGAAGCGCAGTCGTAAAGGTTATGAGAACCTCCAGCGGGTCGCAAAGGGCAAGCATCCATGCCATAAGACCCCAGAGTCACGATCTCATCTGCAGGATGTTGTCCCAGCGGGCCGACTTTCTGAGTCGGGCATGACGGCACGTGGTGCCGATCGGTCGTTCACACGGTCATTCTCCTCTTCACCATCCCAGGAAGTCCCCCCCACCCCCCGTCGCGTCTCTATGATTCTGGCCTCTCGCAGGAACAACTTTCCGAAGACGGGGTGGAGGAGGTGCTCGACGGCATCCGGCCGTTCCTGAGCGTCAGTGGCGGCACCATCGACGTGCACAGCGACTCTGTTCTCGAGGGCGACGCCCCAGCCATTGTCACATCCTGGGGCAGAAAATCGAAGGGCACCGACCCGTCAGTCCTCCGTCCTCCCTCCTCCCTCGTTTCTGCAAATACTGGGCATGACTACTACTCTGCTATCTCCCCGGATCCACCCCGAGCATGGCAGGATTTCTCCCGCATGCACTCTTGTTTTGAAGCGTATGCGGTTTCAAACTCTCCCTCGCGCGCCGCGGGCACCGCGCGGTGCTCTCGTCGCAGGCGCCGCCGACGGCGGACGAGAGCGCGGAGATGCTCGAGAGCGGGCCCTCAGCGCCCGGGGTGAACGGTGCAGCCCCAGAAGCAGGCGCCTCGCTGCTCGTGGAGGGCGCCTGCGCGGACAGGGTGTGGAACGGAGTCCTCTCCCTGATCCCACGGCACCCTCGGACTGGGGGGAGGGTCAAAACCTGGAGGGGAGCGCGGGACCAGCGGCGGGGGGTGCCGCTGGGAAAAAGGGGGTGCCCCTGACTTCCGAGGACCCCCCCCCCGCCGCCGCCCACGCGACACCCACCCGCTCCGGGCCTCCCCTCAGATCCCGTGTGTCGTGCTATTCCTGTCTCCGTACTCCCGAAGGTGAGAGGTGCCAACCTTCAGGACCCGTCCTGGGCGGCGTCGCGGTGCGCAGCACCCCAGAGCTGCTGGTCGCAGGCCCGCTGTGCATGGCGCTGGAGACGGACTGGGGCTCTGAGTTCGGTCTACTTGTCGCTGGACGCGGACTCTCTGACTTCAAGAGCGGCCTTGGAGTCGTCGGAGGCGGACGTTGCGGGCGTTGCTATTGTGATGGCGGAGGCCTGCACGAGGACACCATACCAGGAGTTCAGGGAGCCAGATACGCACATCTTCGTCAGGACGCTGAACGGCAAGACCATGAGGCTGAGTATCAAGCCGAGCACCACCATCAGCACCATCAGATGCATCATTCAGGATGTGGAGGGCATCACCCCGGAGACGCAGCGCCTGATCTTCATGACAAGGCACCTAGAGGACGAGAGGAACATTGGCTACTACAACATCCAGAAGGGCGCGACGATTCACCTGCTCCGTTGTCTGCGTGGCGGCCCGGGCCCGCAAGCCCCGCCAGATCATCCGTTGGGGCAGCTGATGCAGCTGCTCCAGCCCTGCTGGCCGGAAGATGCGCCATGTGCATCGCTGAAGGCGTGGATGCCCCGGCGCTTCCTGGGTCGGCCCTCTGCGCCGCACGTGCTGCGGCTACCACCGCAGGTTTGCCCACCGGCGCCGCTGGCGCCGCACCAGCAGGTGGGACAGTGCTCCCGCTCGCAGGCCCTTGAGGCAGCCGCAGCCCCGACAGTTTCGCCACCTGGGCTGGTTGCCTCTGCGGCCAGCGCAGCTACTGATGCCGCCGTTTGCGAAATAAACGCCCATCTTGGGGATCGAAGACAAGACGACGAAGCACGCCCCCTTTTCCCCGCATGTCAAGGTTGACGGGGAGGGCTGGGCAGTCCAACATAAGTGGGCGTTTATTTCGCAACGCTTCGCGCTCCCCTTCGGCGTGTTTGGTGGCCAACATTGAAATACGGGGAACGGGGCGGGGCTCTCGGTACTTCAACACGTGGGCGTTTATTTCGCAAACAACGGTGACAACGTCATAGGTTTGACTCTGGTCCTCGGCGCCATGGATGTGGGGCAGGGCCAGTTGCACAGCATCGACGAGACCAGCCTTCATGAGTTCTTGGAGGACGAGCTCGACTCTTGGCCAACTCTGTCGTTACGGCGGCGAGCCTCACAGGGCGCATGCGCCCGTGTCCAGAGACCGGCGCCGAGGTGCCCTACGACGTGGGCGGCATCAGACGGCTTGTTGCGCCGTTGGTCCCTGTGCTGGGACGCCGCTGACGCCTGGGGGGTACGAGGGCTGCTCATCGTAGAAGGGCCTGCCCCGACGGTCATCGGCATGGACCGCCGTCTCTTTACAGACAAAACGCTCCTCGCCGTTAACGGCCGGACTGGCTGGACGGAGGACGACGCGGAGCGCGCCCAGCACGCCGTCGCTATGTCGGCTCGAGCCATCTTGGCTCAAGGCTGTCCAAAGCTTTGGCTTCCCAAGGCTTTTCAATCTTCCCAGAGATTTCCAAGAGCATTCCAGATTTCCCCAGACAGACCGACGCCTGCAATGCCGGCGACCACGCGACAGCAGGGCACCCCAGTGCGTGGAGTGCTAGGCAGGGCGTCGTCCGATCCAGCGTCAGCCGAAGTTGTGGACTTCGCCACTCCCGTCGACAAGCGGGCCCGCCTCAGCTGACTCAAGGGCCCCCTGAACGAGATGGACGCCGACCTGCTGGACGACGGGGAGAAGAGGAACGACAGGCAGACCGTGAACCCATTCCGGCAGTCAGACTTCTCGAGTGCCGAAACCGACATCCTGGACACGATGCCCGCGGCGATGGGCGGGATCGCTAAGCTTCTGCAGCAGCAATTGGCACCCATGTCATCTGTGGTGGACGCCCTGCGCCGCGACTTCGGGAAGCTGGAGGTCCAGGTCACGACCCTCGGCGAGACTCTGTCCGGCCGGATTGAGAACTTGGAGACGATCGTCGTCAACACCGACTAGCGATTCGACAAGCTAGAGGACATGCCGCGGCAACCCCCACGACAAGCGACGCAGTTGAGGCCATGATCGATAGCCGTTTCAAGGAGTTCCTGTCGAATACTTCTTTGGGCGTTGGGCCCCAGAACGCCAACGGCCACATGGTGAACAAACGCTTCGCGGCGATGGTCGCGGGCAGCACGGACGGCCCAGGCGACCTCTCAAGCCACCGAGAGGTTGAAGACTCGATTCGAGTCGCTTTCAGGCCCCACCCAATCCAAGTTCTACAGTGAAGGGGCTTTTAATTGAGCCATGTTCGCGGAGTTCCTCAACGCGGACTCGCGCGACGAAGCCGCGGATTTGCTTCGCGGGGAAGGCTGCGCGAACGGCGACAGGAGAATCTGGGCCACTGAAGACCACTCCGCGCCAGAACGTGCCGCCTTGAATTATTGTCTTGGACCCGCGCGCATCTCATTGGGCGAGTGGGAGATCGCACGCAAGATTTCAGTCAGCAACGAGCCGCCTTACCTTGTGACGATTGGGGGCGAGCACGCGCTCACAGCCAAGGTCGAGGGCAATAATGCTGAGTGTGAGCGGCAGGGCGAGTGGGCCACCTGGTCCGACCGACAACACCACAACCCGCTGGTCAAGGACCTCGCTAAAAAGTCAGACGACCTCCTCAGGCGCGCATCCCAAGGTCATAAGGGAAGCGCAAAAGGGGGAGCAATGGGGCGCGGCCCTCAGTAGGAAACACGGCACATGAGCAATGTTTCACCTGTTTCACCGGCAGCCGGCCCTACGATCAATATGAACCACGAACTGATGAGAATTCGCCCTTGCAAGCACTCGCCCACAGCAGCCGACAATGCTGCTGCTTCCCTTTACCCTGCCCCCGCGCGTTCCAGCAGAGCTGAAGCACTTCGTTTTCGCGGGAGCCCCCTTCATCCTTGTTCCCGGCTGCCCCGGGTGGCGCCTTGGAGCGCGGGGGGCTACGCGGACGCAAAGTAGCTAGAGCTGGAGCGGCACATGGTTCACCTCAACATCGACACTCTGCGCACCCAGGAGACGCACAAGGCAGTTTGCGATTATGATTTTTCGGACGGCGGCTCCTCGCCATCTTCTCCGGCGCCGGCGCCGACCAGGAGGAGACGGCCGGGCTCGGTTTCATTGTCGCCCCTCATCTTCACCACAGCGCCGTTGGCTTCAAACAGGAGACGGCGCGCAGTCGTCGGCGGCAAGATGGCGATGCGCGGCAGCGGGCTTTCTACGGCGACCTGAGTGTTTTCCTATATGTTGTGCCCCCCCCCATGGTCCGCTTCTGGTCCTGGGTGATTTCAATGCTCGGCTTCACCGTCGTTCCCCGCGGGAGGAGGCCATCGCGGGCCCCCGCGTGTTCGGCAATCCCACGGCCGAGCACAATCCGTCTTCCAATCGGCGCCCGCAGGCAGAGCTATGCACCAGACCCAGATTGCACACTGGAAACACGCATTTCGATCACCCAGCTGACCTGCAGATCATGCCACAACGTCGGGAAGATGCCGTCTGACATCCCTGCGCCAGAGAATTTCGGGCAGATCGACTTTTTGCTGCTCTCGCGGGACTGGCTGGACAGCCTGACATTCTGACGAGTGATCGGCGAAGCGCGCTGGCGTCGCACCATTTTCTGGATTACGCTGACATCAACGTCGTTGCCCCCAAGGAATCGCGGCCGCAGCCGGCCCCCTGGCGCTACCTGCGCGCCCTTCGCCATCCTAGGGCGCTCCATGATCGCGAACATTGTGGATGTGGACACGGCTATGATGCAGACAGCTCCTGAACGGCCCAGGGGGGCAGCTTGGTTTTTCTATGTCAAAGCCGCCTCCCCGAGCATCGCGCACGCGTTCCTCCAGCGGCTGCTCCAGACGGCGGGCCTGCCACCGTGGCTCCTGCGATTTGCTGACGCGCTGTACACGGGGAACCGTTGCTCGATGGCGGCGGGCGGATCGGCGCGTCCAGGATTTGTTTCAAGGGCGGGAATTCGGCAAGGATGCCCTCTCTCACCGATCCTGTTTGCAGTGGCAGTGGACGCGCCGCTGAGGCGGCTGCGGAGACCGCAGCCGCCACTGGCGTCACGGGCCTCGCGGACGACGTTGCGGCGGTCACCCCGGACCTTTTCGAGTCCGCTCCGGTCCTGCTTCCCATATTCGCGGACTTCGGGCGCATATCTGGCTTGCACTTGAGCATGCCGAAGACCTACGTGGTCCCGGTTTTCCGCAGTGACGCGACCACGGCGTTGCGCGATTTGCTGTCCACGCACCCTGGATGGAGTGGCGCGCAAGCCACCCGGCGCGCCAAATATTTCGGTTTCTTTCTCGGCCCCGAGCGCGGACATCAAGGGCACAGGAAGGCTCTCCACAAGGCGCTAGACAGAGCGAGCTGGTGGGGGGCCGCAGGCGGGGGGCTCTACCTGACCACGGTTGCCTACACAGTCTATATATCATTTGTCTTCGGAAACCTGATGCAGCTGGACGCCCTGCCGCCCCTATGGGAGAGAGTGGGGGCCAAGGTATTAACCCGCCTTGTCCCTGGCTCCAATTGATGGACATGCCCCGATGACCTTCGGCAGATCCATGTCCTCGGCTCCCCCCGCGGATTCACAGATCTTCGCGCGCGGCAGAGGGCAGCACAGCTCCGAGTCGCAGCGATGGAGAATGGCGCTGCGGGCGGCCTGCGGGCAACAGCCCAGGCCGCGGAGTTCCGCCGAATTTGCATGAACTCCGACAACATTATTGCGGCCGCTGCCTGCACGGATTGGCTCGACCCCCCCTACATCTGCCAGCTGGACGACAACCAAAGGCAGCGCAGCGCTGCCGGCGTCGCGCCCCACGCCGTCGAACGGCAGCTTCTGGGAGGCGAGATCGCCCGGCCTCTCACAGCGCAACAGGCCCGCAGTCTCCGACACGGCATCCAGGGTTGTTCCGCTACCTTGCTGACAACTGCCCGACCAGAGGAGCTGGAGCCGCGCGCGCGGCACAAACACGACCGATGGGCGGACGACCAATACCCTCGTATCCGGACAGCGCATGGCATGCGATTCCTCCGGGTCCTAGGGAAGGCGGCGCCTCCCCGTGTTTGGGCGGCATCTTGGAGAGTCACGTGGAACGGCTGGCCACCTTCGAGGCGCACCAACGGGCGGTCGGGCCCCCTGGGCCGCGCGTTTGGGCGTTCCGCGACCAGCCCAGATTCCATTGAGCACTACGCGAACTGCACGGTTGGACATTCGGTCATGGCCAGAGAGTTGGGCATGTCAAGGGCGGCCACGCCACAGGGCCGCTTGGCCGCCTTCCTGGGCCTCGACCTCCAGGCCGCTGAGGACGACGACGCGGTGTTTTTGCGTGGCATCCGCTTGGCGGCGATGCACCGCGCCCGTTGCCATTACTGGCACGGGCAGCTCCGCCAGGGGCCGGCAGTAGCGGAGGCGCTGCGCCAGGCTTGCCGCGAGGTCGCGAAAGACCACCAGCAAGCCAGCGCAGCCTACGACGCGGCCCAAGCACGTGGGCGAGGGAGTCGTTGAGGTGCCCGAGCGAGTGCTGTGACGGGTGGCTCGCGCTGGCAGCGGTGGCGGCGGCGGCCCGTCCAGGGTGCGACGGGCAGCTCGAGCCGCAGGCGGCTGCTGCTGTTCCTGCTGCTGCTGGGGCTGCTCTGGAGGATGCCAGCCCATCCTCGCCTTTGGGGGGTGCCAGCCCATCCTCGCGTGGCGCGGCTGACTTAGGGCCAAGCCGGATTAGCGGGTGCCTGTTCACGCGCCGCGATAGACTGTCAGTTTCCCCTCTTCCTCCTCCCGCTTCTGCTCTCGCACGCGTCCTCTGCACCTCCCCTCTGCTCGGCGCGATGCGGGGCAAGCTACCGTGTCCTTTTCCGCGAGGGCCGCGCGGCCGATTGATTCTGGGCCACGGCGCGCCCAGGTGTCTATTCGCGCCTATTCGCCCGCCCTGGCTATTGTAGAAGTGAGTGCGTGGCGGCATCCGGGTTCTCGATGCCCCACCATGTTTGCACAGCGCCCACGTTTGCACAGAGAGCCATGATAACTCGCTGGCCTGCCGCGTCGCGGTCCGACGACAGACCGACGAGTCCGTCGAATTCGAACCGCAGTCCTCCCCTTTCTCGTCTCTTTCCTTCCGCCCTTTGCCTCCAGGAAGCCGAAAGCTAACCCTTCTTGGTTAGAAGGGCTGGTTTTGGGCCTCCTCTGCCTGTCTCGTGCTCGCTCCCCCCCGAATTCGGCCACACGGAGTTTTAGATCTGGACCGCAGGAGGCTGGTAGTCAGCGCTAAGTGCGCTGGCAGGGCAAAGCTGACTGTCAGCTGGTCTTGGCTCCTTGAAGGCCGCGCAGCCCAGCCTCGACCTTCGGCACGTGCGTCCCTATCTTTTGCCTCCTCCTGCTCCCCTCCTCCCTTTGCCTCTTCACCTTCTCCTCCTTCTCCTTCCGGGATTCGGGGCGCCACTTGGCCAGTCCAGGCCGGCAGGCTTGCGGCTGTCCCGATCGCGTGGCCGATGGCTCGTGGGAGGGCGCTTGCCCTGGACTCGACCCCTGAGGGTGGACGCCGGCGCGTCGCCCTATCTGGGGGATGCCAGCCCGTCGATTTTTCCAGAGTGATTTGACCACGCTCGCAATTCACGGTTTTATGCGGAGCGATTCTCCTCCCCTCCGCCCTCTCCTCTCTCTCTCTTCCCTCCCTCTCCCCCGCTTCCTCCTTAATTGGCAGCCGCTGCCGGCCGACCCTGAGCTGCAGCCGTTGCTGAGCAGGGTGCGCCGAGTTGGGCAGTAGTGTCCACCTATATCATGATGTCTACGTTGGCGAGTGTTTGCGCCCAACTTTTAGTTGTCCTTTATTTTCCTTTGCTCTTGGGCACCAGTGCGAGTCCCGCTGGCTGGAGCTAGCTGGTTACGCACACGCGAGGTTCACTGTTCTTCCTCCTTGGAGCTGCTTCCTGCGGGCGTCAGACTTGGTTATATCGGCCACGCTCGCAGGACAGGCTGCTCGCGTGTCGCCGGTCTGCCTGCAATGCCTTGCATTGCCCAGCATGTGGTCAGCGTCTTATTCGTTCTCCTCCTCCTCCTCCTCCCCCTCCTCCTCCTCCTCCTCCTTCCCCTTGATTGCGATGACATGTACCCGGCTAGCCCCTTCCGAGCTCTGCCGCTGTAGTGCTACAGAGCGGTGCGAGCCCATGTCCGCGCGTTTTGCTTGGGGGCGGCTGCGGTTCGTTGATTGGGCGGTTATAGCCCCCATGAGGGGAAGCGGATTCGTTCGACTGAAGTTGTTCGGTGTTTGTGTGCGGAAAAACTCTCATGAACGGGCCCGTTTTCGGCGTTTCAAAGTAGTGTTCTTGCTGCAGCGTTGGCCTCATTTTCGGATCGGCGTTTTGCTCCTGTCGTTCAGAATGGCGCACTTAACCCAGCGGGGGCCAAAATTCTAGATCCAAGTCCTTCGTCGTTGTCGCCCAGCTCCTTTCCCCTCCTCCGCCTTTCCCTGGTCCGCCTGGTCCCGCCGCTCCTCGTACTCCTACTCCTGCTGCTGCTGTTCCTCCTCGTCCTCGGCCTTCCTGGTCCTCATGGTACTATCTCTCTTGCTCATCTTCTGGCGCATCCGCCACCCACTCCTCCAACGTACACAGATGGGGTCATTTGAAACAATCAGGTCAATGGAAAGGGATGGATGGGAACATTGGGATGTCAGGCATGGCGCGAGCTTTCCCTCCTCCCTCCTCCCTTTTCCTGCCCCCCGTTCCTTCTCCCCCTCCCTCTTCGTCCCTCCCTCCCCGTTCCTCCCTCCCCACGTTTCACTACGCACCCCTCCTTCCCTTGTCATTCCTTTCTCTGTTTCCTCCCTCCTCGTCCTCATCCGCCCCTTCCTCATCATAAGGACGACATTTCCGAGTGAACTTTCGCAGCTTGCATCCGCTTGCGGGCCAGAAAGGGGGTTACATATGGCACGGAGTGGGGTCCAGCCCGAGAGTGGCGCATGGCATGTAGTGGCGAGGGGGAAGAGGATGACGGGGGGAAAGGATGATGAAGAGGAGGAGGTGAGCAGACGAACGGGAAGAGGGAGGCGGCGAAGGAAGAGAAGTAATTTCTTGTAGGGAGAAGGGGGAACTCATGTGAGCGGAAAGCCGATTTGGGCGAGCTGGCCCGAAGGCTATTCGTCAAGGTCATCAAAAAACGCCTCTACCCTGGTTTACGAGGCGCTGTGCGCTGAAATTCCTATGGGCTGACATGGTAAACCCTGCGTGATGTGCGGCGTCCTGGCGGCTCTCTAGGCTTTGGGGGTTCCGAGGAGCTTCACAGACCACGCACCTGTAACCCAGTGTAGGGTCGTTTTCTCACCCCTCAACTTTGCTGAGTACCCACAGATGTAGCCGAGGCCAAAGCTGGAGCGCACAGGAAAATAGACAGGGCACACCCTGCAGAGTTGGTTGGCAGCGCATCGTTGAGCAGTGCTGCAGTCTCCCCTGGGCAGCTCCGCCCCCCCACCCCCCGCGCATCAACCAGACCAGTCGGATTTGCACCCTCCTGCCTTGCTGGACCCTGGCGCGGAACTGCCACTGCCGCTGCCTCCGGGTCGTCAGGGCCACCAGCTCGGGCGACGGCGGCAACGACTGGCGGTGGCCGACGCGCCCAAGCCTGGCGGCGCGCAAAGCCAGGCTGCGAGGAGCACGATGTCCTTTGAACCGGACGGGGGGGCAACTGCAGCAGCAGGAGGGGATACAAGACCGACGGGGAAACCAAGACAAAACAATATAAAACAGGCTTAAGCCAGGCATCTGGGAGGGAAGGAGGGCCGACGGGAGGCGAGGAATATAAGAAGGCGGTCGGAGAGTTGGATGAGGATATGGTTGGGCAGCGGCAGCAGGTCCTGCGAATGACCGGGCCGCCTCTGAAGAGCATGGCCGTGCGCGTCGAGGTGGTGAACAGGATAAAGAGAAAGTACCCGAAGGCTCCCCGTTCTTCTTCGCGGAGCTCGACGGTGGCCAGTGCCCTGGATCATCCTGGGGAGACTTCTGATATTCCGATGCTTGCAGGGTGGGGGTACGAGAGTCGGATGACGTGCCTCAGTTCCCCCTCTTGTCTCCCCTCCTCTCCTCCTTTCCTCAGTCTCCTCCCCCCATTTACGTTCCCCACTTTCCCTTCAATCTCCTCACCCCGCCTTCTCCCTTCTCCCCCTCGCTCCCCCGGCTCCCCTCCTCCCCCCTCTTCTTCGGACCTCCCGTTCCTCCCTCTCCTCCCCTCCCCTCCTGCTCATCACAAGTCACTTCCCCTTCCCTCCTCCCTGTCACTCTCGTCCTTGCCCTTCCCTTCTTCCCCCTCCCTTCTCTGCATCTTTCTCCTCGCCATCCTTGTACTTTTCCCTTTTCCTGTTCATGACCCCCATATCGTCCCCCTTCCCCTTTTCCCATCTTCCCCTCCCGCTCTTCCCTTCTCACATCTGGCTCCTCCCCCACGAATCCTGCTGCTTTTCTTTTTGGTTCGTCCATTTATCTGTCGATCCGTACACGTATCCACCCACCCACTCATCCACTCGTCCAATCCCACCTTTCCGCACCGAGCTCCGCCCGAGCATCCACCTATCCGTTCACGCATGTTACTACTACTTCTCGCCTGGAGTGGTTTCCATATGCGCAGAGGTTTGAGTCCAATATTGACTGGTAGTTCGTCGCCGTCGCACTCGACTACCGCCATTTCCATGTTGCACGTACGTTCGAGTTGCCATTGTATGATGGTTTGTGTTTTCTTCCTGTCTGCTGGCCGAGATCAAAGACGTGAAGATTGTGGGGGAAGATGGCGAAGGATCGATGTGAGGTCCTGGTTTTGGGCTTTACCAGATTTTCGCCCTCGCCTGCCCGAGCAAGAGGCAGAGAGGGAACCGAATCAGACAGGCGCGCCTGTATGACAATGGTCATGCACTGACGAACTGGATGGGATATGTACATAACTGGACATACCTATATATATATATATATATATATATATACACACACATTGTATGTATACAGATGTACGCGTGTGCGTATTCATGAACGGAAGCAAGAGAACACGTGTGTACATATATATATATATATATAGAGAGAGAGAGGGGAAGAGAGAGAGAGAGGAAAAAAAAGAGAGCAAGAGAGAGAGAGGGAACGAGAGAGAGAGGGAGAGGGAGAGAGAGAGAGACAGCGAGAGAGAGAGAGAGCGGGAGATACGTCTAGAGAGGGGTGAGACAGAGAGCGAGAGAGGTATATACATATACAGATACACATACATAATGTGTATATGTCGACAAATGTTCCCCATATCCTAAGATGGGGTTATTGTTATTACTTGGACGCCTCCTACTGCCTCTCCCTCCTCCTCTTTCCTCCTCCCCTCCTCATACTCAGACTTACTCATACTCAGACTTACTCATACTCAGACCTACTCATACTCAGACTTACTCACACTCAGACATACTCATACACAGACTTACTCATACACAGACTTACTCACACCCAGACGTACTCATACACAGACCTACTCATACCAGACTTACTCATACACAGTATTACTCATATTCAGACCTACTCATACCCAGACGTACACATACACAGACTTTCTCATACACAGACCTACTCATACCCAGACTACTCATACACAGACTTACTCATACACAGACTTACTCATACTCAGGCATACTCATACTCAGACCTACTCATACTCAGACTTACTCAACACACATCAGATTTGGAGGATGTCTCAAGCGGGGCGCTGGTTTCAGCACCCCTAAGGGGAGCCGCCAGGGGTGGTTGCACGGGCTCGTTCGCGGCCATTTTGTGGGGATGTCTCAGGCGGTTTGCTTGTTTCTGGGCTCAACATCCTTCGCTTGGAGAGCAGATTGTGAGGATGTCTCAGGCGGGGCGCTGGTTTCAGCACCCCTAAGGGGAGCCGCCAGGGGTGGTTGCACGGGCTCGTTCGCGGCCATTTTGTGGGGATGTCTCAGGCGGTTTGCTTGTTTCTGGGCTCAACATCCTTCGCTTGGAGAGCAGATTGTGAGGATGTCTCAGGCGGGGCGCTGGTTTCAGCACCCCTAAGGGGAGCCGCCAGGGGTGGTTGCACGGGCTCGTTCGCGGCCATTTTGTGGGGATGTCTCAGGCGGTTTGCTTGTTTCTGGGCCAACATCCTTCGCTTGGAGAGCAGATTGTGAGGATGTCTCAGGCGGGGCGCTGTTTCAGCACCCCTAAGGGGAGCCGCCAGGGGTGGTTGCACGGGCTCGTTCGCGGCCATTTTGTGGGGATGTCTCAGGCGGTTTGCCAACATCCTTCGCTTGGGCAGATGAGGATGTCTCGGCGGGCGCTTTTCAGCACCCCTAAGGGGAGCCGCCAGGGGTGGTTGCACGGGCTCGTTCGCGGCCATTTTGTGGGGATGTCTCAGGCGGTTTGCTTGTTTCTGGGCTCAACATCCTTCGCTTGGAGAGCAGATTGTGAGGATGTCTCAGGCGGGGCGCTGGTTTCAGCACCCCTAAGGGGAGCCGCCAGGGGTGTTTGCACGGGCTCGTTCGCGGCCAT